AAAAGAAAATTACCGTGGGGTCTCGAAGAATGATTTCAGGAGCTCTATTGAATAATAGCTAAAATGACCCCTTTTCTATAACAAGCGGGCCCTACACTACTCAGAAATTTCTCGAATGGCTGTACCAAATTAGAGAAATTATACATAGCGTAAAACAGCATTTAATCCTCTATCATCCTCCATAAAAATATTCTTTCAAATTGAAAAAAGCTTTTTATAAAAAAATCTCCGAACCTCTCATACAGATCTTTTCAGATGCAACCCTCTTCAAAAGATCCCCTATCTCCCTACGGGGATTTTTCGAAAAAAACTTTTTTTTTCAATTCAAAAGGATATTTTTCTGGAGAATGGTAGAGGATTAAATGTTGATTTGCGCTATAGGTATAATCTATCTGATTTGATGTAGTCCTTCGAGAAATTTCTAAGTAGAGTCAGGCCATTTTCTATAGAAAAGGTGTCATTTTTGGCAACTTTTCCGTAAGTTCTGTGGGGTCGTTCTTGAAGATCCCAGGCTAATTTTTTTGTAACTTTGTAGTACTCGATGAGCACTTTAAATCTACATAAGTCAGAATTCTTGAGAATTCATTTCTTGGGAAACTCGACTCTTCCAAAGTCGTGATTTTCGTCAAAATTGCGATTTTGTGGAAGATCTCGTGTGTGACAGGAAGCTTGTAGAAAGCTGAAATTTTTTGTGAGCCAAGTACTCAATGAGATCTTTCTATAATCAAAATTTTAACTGTCTAACACTATCCCTTCATGATATAGATAGATACAAAATACCGAAAAATGCCTATTTTGCGTGTAACTGATGGTATTGGGCAACTCACGAATAGTACATCCATTTAAGCTCATTTGTTTTGGTAATAAACAGGGTTGCCAACTCCAAAGGTGTCGAATGGGGTACACTGGTGGGGCACATCATTTTTCCAAAATTCAAGGATCTGGCGTGAAAAAGCGGCTGGAATCAATGGTCTTTTTAGCGAATGAGAGGCCAAATTTAATTTTCCCTGTGCGAAACATGTTTCAATGAGGTTGTTGTATTTTCGAATCCGTGCTCAGCTCCTGCTTTGCTTTCTTCTACGATCGTGATGTCTGAGTGGATCAGGTCGTCATTGTTCATTTAGTCAAAATTACAGTCAAAAATGATTTTTTTAGCCTTTCGAAGATAAATCAAGACGAATAAACAGGGCTGTTCGAAAACAAGAGAAAAAGCTCAAAACTCAAAGAAGAAAACTAGATTTTTTATTTCACTGGATTTCGAAGAAAATTTTTGCGCAATGGATAGTATCTAAATATTATACTGCGAGACGCCTTCCATAATATTACTGCAGTAAGCATCCGTAGCACCAATTTGAGTATGTTTCCAACATTTTCGATCGAGATATTTTTCGAGATGATTTTAGTTTTCTCGATAGAAGCACAATTTTCACGTTTATCAATCGAGACTTCACTTTCTTGGGGGTTTTGAAGTTTTCACGATTGAAATACCTTTTCCGTGTGAGTTCCGCTTTTCTTAATCCAGATATGTTTATCCAGTTAACTTTCGAGTATACTGATCAACCTATAATTTTGAAAATACTTTCCAACTTTTTCGACTAGCATGTAGATTTCGAGATGGGGTTTGCTAAATAGATTTTTGTAGACTAAAATCTAGTTTTCCTCCTTGCAAAAATCCATCAAGAATTCGATTTGACTTTGGCGTGAAACTGAGAAGTCAGAAAAAAACAGAAAAGACAAGTTTGAACGGATGCAACGGTTGCCTACAATCACTAGTTACTATCCAGTCAATATGATTTAAGCTTCATATCCCTATAAAAAACGACACTAGCTAAAAGAAAAAATTTGATTAACACTGCTCGAAGATGATTCATTTACAATGTAAAAGAAAACGTCCAAATGGGGTACAGTTGGCAACCCTGATAATAAAGAACCATGATACCAACTTACAATAATAATTTCAAGTGAATTGCATATACCTTTGACGAGGTTTTAGTGTCACAAAAACTCACAAAAAAATGGGCTTTTTTCACTATAGTGCCTCAGAAAAGTCTGAATATCTCAGGAATGGAACTATATCTTTTCAAACGGCTTGTGTCAAAATTCTTCGAGCTGTTACCTCTATAACATATGTTAAATTGAGCAAAATCAGAAGATCTCGATTGAGCAGCTCCTGTGATAATCGGTCGTGGCTTATATGGGACCGGCTCTTATATAACATGTACTTTACTAGACCTAAATCAAATTCTTTGAACAGTCGACAATTGTAGTTTCATCGATGTTACTGAAATTGACAATAATCAAGAATCAAACATAAGCTACCAACAAATAACGAATAGACATAATTAGAGATGTGCAACTGTCCATGAACATTCTGAAAAGTAAACGTGTGAAATTCATTATCAACAGAACAAAAACTCAATATTTGTATCGTGAGTCAAATCTTGATTTTGAAATCTCATCTATGGATACGTCCATGGAGAATCTGTTTTGTTACATAAAGGTTGAAAATATAGGCGGTTTTTTTACGGAATAAATAAGTATATTTTTGTGTACTCAAAAAGTGAGTACGGCTATAGAATCGGTCAGTGTGTCCGGTCGGTCGGTCGTTTACACGATAACTCTTCAAAAGATAGTCCGATTGTTATGCAATTCTGTACACAGAATCGTCTCATCGATATCTCGGTCCAGTTCGAAGATGAAAATCATTCGTCCAGATATTGTTTAGTTATCGCTAAAAATGTCGTTATTTCCTATGCTTTTCTATAGGAACATTGACCTACCCTAGTTTTCGTAGAAATCTTTTCTCTCACAATCAAGCAAAACCTCAGCTTTTATATACCATTCGATAGAGAATTTAACGGGCTACAAAATGGTATATAAAACATTAAGTAACGAAAAGTCTAAGTAGCCTATTGCAAAGATACTTAAACGGAAATTGGTTCTGTCTGTGTCCGCTCTCTTATTGGTCGAAAATTCAAACCCCATCTTCCAATCACAGAAATATTATTTAGAGATTTTCTGGGACAGAGAACTTGAATATGAGCTCCACTTGCCTTCAAATCCTATTGGTTGAGCAGTAACCAATAGAAATCAAGTTTTAGGAAAACCGCACCGCTTGCTAGGATAATTTTGATGTCTACACATGCTATGATGACTCATCTGTCTAGTTTACTTTTTGAAGTACACATAACACTCGGATTTAAATCCAATGTTTCCACATTTATTTTGTACAATAACATTTAGATATATCATCTTTCATGACGAAAGATTCGTGCTAGATTATATTTTTGAAGAATCTGCTTTATGTTTGATAATTTAACTTATTATAATGTGAAATCGTAAAGTTGGATTCGTATTTCTTAGATTATTTCCATTGTGTGTGCAGTTTCGTTCGAACTCTAATCTAATGAAAAACAGTTCGCTTCATCAATAAATTTGATTTCATCAATCTTATCATTATCTTCTACTTGATCAATTACTTTGATTCAATCACCATAATTAATGCTTAAATACCCATTGGAATCGTTTTTCATTCTTCATTCAAAATCTTTGATGTGACATTGTAACGAGTCCTATGCTATAAACAGTAGAGTTATTGTAAGAAACCAATATCAAGTGCATGCGAAATACAAAAGACGAAAGAAGTTCTCATATGAAATTGTTATAATATAATCAGACACCATCTGTACAACTGAAGATGAAAACAAAGTTTTTCTGTATAATATTATATTAAAGAAGGTAGGTCACATGAATCAATCTGTTTTATCTTAGCATATTAGATTTCCAAAGAAAGCATAAATACAATGGAAATAATCCAAGAAATGCGATGCCAATTCTACGATTTCATATTTATTGCAACAAAAGAATTTTCTTTGGTGTTCATTATATAAATAGAAGAGCGCCATAGGCTTGCCCCAATGTCACAAGTAATCTTCTTAATTTGTATTATATAAATTCATTTGAAGAAAATCTCAGAATAAAAATAATATTGAGATTTTCATTTGTTATGTTTCTAAAAATTTTAAATATAACTCAGATTATAATTTTGCATATGGTTCTGCAAAAATTTTCATGAATATATATGAAATGTAATCGAATAGTCAATGTTGAATCACAGTTATGACTATCGATATGAATAAATTGATTGTTTTTTACGTGAATACGTCAATTTGAAACAAACATCTTTAATTAAATGTAGCATTAAAAAAGTCATCTATAAGCAATGTTAAAAATTTCACTTCTTAAGGTTTTTAACAATCATACTCCATTGACACAAAATCCTAAAAACTACAAATTCTTAACTTCTTGTAATTTATGACTTGTTTCGTTTGTTTCTACAGTTTACATGAATATAATGCAGCAGACGACATTGGACAAACAGAAGACATTAATAAATATTTGAATTTCTTTGTATTTTTACTTGCGGTACTATAATATTGACAAGTTGTTTTAAGTCAACATAAAAAAGGGATAGAATCATACAGACAAAGAATGTTTTAGTAAAAGACAATCTTTAAGTGAATGTGCGATGACAGTTTGCTAGCAATCATAAAAGTGCATCGAGACTGAATATCTCTTTCATGATTGTGCTAAATTAGCACATTTAGATTGAATCTATCCGATTCTGACTGGTGGGCTTGTGGACACTTAAACTGGGTGCAAATTCAGGGAATTATAAAATATTTCTAAAGAAGAATCTACCGCTTCCGCGATAGTAAATGTGAAACATCGCCCGCGCCGTCTTGTACATCTCTAGAAGCAATGATTTTACTATAAATTTCGAGCCAAGAACTTGTTTTTTTTTCAAATAATCAATTCACAATATTTGAATAATCTTATAGAAAAAAGAAAAGAATTGATACTGTCATTATCTAACACATACACGAGAATAGAACGAAGAAAAAATATCTATATAAAAATTTACATAACATATTTGACATGAAGAATGATATTTCGAAGTACAAAGAAAAACTACAGTAGTATCTGACTCTAAACATGAATTAAATTTTTAATTGATCTAAATCAGGTAAATCAATCATTTGTTGTTGATTTCTCTTTTTATATTCAGCACTAAGTTGTCTCATTAATTGTGGTGTAGATAAATGTGGATTAGTTTGTTTTATTGTTTGAAAATTTTCTTGAACAAATAAATTATATTTATTAATTGTTTTTTTTGGTGTTTGTTTTTCTTGTTTTATTTCATTTTGATTATGATTTATAACTAATTGAAATCGTCCCATACATTTACCACAAAAATCAATATCAAGATTCAATGATTTTGAATGTCGATAAACTCTGCAAAGAAAAAAAGTTTAAAAAATAAAAAAACAAAAAGAAATATTACTGATGTTGACATTGAACACAACGATAAATAAATTTATAAATAATATCATATGTATGCTTCACTGAAACCAATGGTAAATAAGGATAACATCGTTCAGCCATACGTGTCCATTGACGCCATAGAGGTCCATGTCCATGTTCCATAATACCATCAATTAAAGTCACAGCTGCATGGCACATTTCATGTAAAAGGGTATCACGACAACGTTCTAAAATAAATAACTTCAAGTTTTTTTTTTTAAATAAAAAATGAAGTTTTTTACGAACCAGGTGAATCACAAACTTTATGCGAAAGTGTAATTACAGCAGTACGTGTTGTTCGTCGAGTTGTACAATGACCAGCAGTCGCTGTTAAACGACCACTCCATACTACACTGACTTTATCTGATAGCTGAACAAATATTAAAATAAAAACAAAAACTGTTAGTACAATTCCTACAGAATTTGCATGTGAAACACGACTTAGCCACTGTTGCTAATCACAGGGAGATTTCTTTATTCTGTGTATTTTGGGATACATATCACCATTGTTTTATTTAATCTTCCAGAAGTAGTTCATGTAGTATAACGAGACATTATTGATCAATGGCTTTTGATCGTATATCAACATCGTTTGCCATGCTCTGTGGGGAAGAGGAGAAAAGATCCAAATATTTACTCCTATACTTCAACACTTCATTTAGATCGTGTTTCACAAAAACCAAATGATAGATAAAATTTACTTGAGAAGAAAAAACATCTTGATTAAATAGTAATAAAAGTTTGTTGGCTAATTCCTGTCGCTTTTCTTTAAGCTTAAATGCTGATCGAATAAAATATCTGTATGAAAAAATAAAAACAAAAAATATTAATGAAAAAAATACGAACAATTGAACATACGGTTTAGCATCCGGATGTTTATCTTCGAATGATATACATTCGGAAAGTGATTGAAGAAAATTAAAAGAAATATTTCTTTTTTGATCGTCTTCTTTCATTAATAATTTATGATCAGTTTTTATTGAAGAAGAACTTGATGATGTAGGACTAGATGATTGAGTTGATTGATCGGATGTATAAATTTCAGATTTTAATCGAATTCTAAAAGAAATATAAAACAGATTCAATTGATTGTAAATATTTTTGTAAGATTTACGTTAAATTTGTATTTGCTGTTAATAAATGATTTTTTCCATCGGACTCTTCAGATGTATAAACATCAGCTAGTCTAAGAAAAAAGAAAGAGATTAAATATAATATCTTTATTTAATTTTACCTTTGCCATAACGGATCATTATGAATTAAAAGATTTACTTTTTTTTTAACATCTAATGAATGTTCTTTGATATTTTCATTAGAACAAGAAGATGATGATGAATCATCAATAAAATCTTTTAAACTAAAATAAAAAATAAAAAAAATAATGTTTTAATAAAAATAAAAGAAATAATTAATACTTGTTTCTTTTCTTTCTTCGGCGTCGTATAGGTGTATTTTGTTCATCTTCCAATACTTTTAGATTTCGATGTTCTTGTAAAACTATTAAATAAATATATATATTAGTTAATGTTCCATTCAATATTTGATGATTTCATATGAAGAGTATCTTACGACAATGAAACTATTCTGTCAATAATATTTAATCAATTTTAGAATGAAATTTTCAATCTTACTACATGAGACGACTCAAAATATTGGAAAAGGTTTTTGAAACATGAAATACAAGTCGTTTAAGAAAATACGAAAAATTTCACCTTCAAATTTAAATCGTTATAATAATCATATTTAACAAAATAAGTTGTTTTTTCCTGAAATTGATAATTTTAAATATGATTAATATATAATTTTATCATTAACCACTATACAGATAAAGCTCGCGAACTTTCTTTCTTTATTTATCTTCAGATAATAATCAGCAGCTGTTACATTCAAAAATATTTTCAAAAAAATGATTTAAATCTGATGAAAAATTACATTGTTCGAATGCTTGATCATCATCATTACTACTGTCGATAGCTCGTTGATTACGAATCATATCCCTAGAAAATAAAAATAAAAAGGATAAATATTGTACTTGACTTCAAACCTATTTACAAGACATTCTTTAAAGATGTCAACACGTTTTATAGTTAAGGATTCAGGAGAATGTTCAAGATGAATTTATTCATCTTCTTCTCAATGTTTTATATGAAAATGAAAACAAACGACTCAACTAGAAGCGACATACTTATCTTATTTCTACAAGGAAACTATGTCTAAGTGTCAAATCGATTTTGAGACGAGACTATGTCAATCACATAGATTCTATTGAGGTACGCTAGTTTTAGCAGAATACAGTGCCTCTTCAGAAACACCAGGAAAATTGAGTCTCGAATTTTGACTTGAAACTTTGCATAGAAGAAAGATCTGCAAAATCACTTTTTCAGTCCCGATCCTGGTTAAAGTTTTGTAAAGCTTTTGCTCCCTTTTTATCTACAAACAAGCAATTTTTTACAAGATTAAGCCTAAAATTTTAGATTTATATTCATATTTCTAAACAGTAATAAACTTGTTTTTTGAAATATAGAGAAGTACAATAATAACATTCAAAAGTTCATACTAGAAATAGGAAAACAAATACGAAAAAATGTATAATCAAAAGAATGATCAAATCTATTATTGAACCAAATTTGTGTATATTGCACCAACTCGCTTATTTAAAAAATCGTACAAGTTATCTAAAAATCTTAATTCTTGAAATTAAAATCAAGATCAGTGAAGGACTTCTATCGGAATCGTAAATAAAATGGCCAATTTGCAGATTCTTAGTCACAACAAAATAATAAGCACGAACATGTAATATCTAGTTCTACATAAAAGACATATACCGGAACCAACTTGAAAAGTTATAAGTCCTGGTAAAAATCAAAATTTTGATTTCAGACCCGATCCCGCCTGAGCCAGAACCACTTTGCAGATTCCTAGCATAGAGACACGTCTCAGTGAAAATATTTTATTATAAAGGTTTTAGATCTTTTTTGACTGTTGTTAGTTTGCTAAGTGTTCCTGAGAGGGGATACAGCATTCTGCTAAATATACGCTAAAAAATACAGCATATCAGTCGTAATAAGTTATTAGCCCGAAGTCTTTTCAGAGTATCGATAATTCATTAGAAGCTACATCATGCACATAGTGTCGACTCGAAAACAATGAGACACTTAGAAACGTTTGCTTGTTAGATGTAATTAGAAGAAGTTTGCATAATATTAATGGTAGAGGAAGTCTCCTTGTCACTGACAATATTTATCTTGACCTTGTTTTGACTGAAAGAAAATTATAGTAAAGAAAAAAACATAATCAATTCTTCTATTTCTCAGCATTAGTAATATGAAAGTATCATTTGAAGAAGATGAAGATTTAATTAGTTTAATTATTAGGATAAAAATCATTGAATATGTCAAGTATTCAATGATGAAAAAACAGTAGATATGAAAATACCTTCGCGATTGACGTGTTACTCTTTTATTATTGAATTGATCTTGTAGAATCACTAAAACACAAGTAACAGATATTTAATCATCAACAGTACCTTTTTTCCATACTTTTGTCTTCAATCGGTTGTTGTATATCTGAATTAATTGGGAATGTTTCAATTGGTATAACAATATCTGTGTCTATGTGATGTTGAACATTTTTTGTACATAATTTTCTCCATGGATTTGGGCTAATAGGTTTTCCTGTAAATGCATTAATAATTGGTTTTGATATTTCTTTAGTAAATGTACGATTATGATCAACAGTTGGTAATGGATTTTTGTCTACTTCTTCATTATTAAGAATGATACATGGTATTTCTGAACTAGCAGTAAAATTATGTTGAACTCTATCAAATACATTTGAATATGAATCTAACGATGATTCAAAATCAATATTTTTCAATGGAATATCTATTGGATCGATTGATGACAAAGTCGAAACAGAAAAATCTCGATAATCATCCGTCATTCTTTTTTTTTTCAATAAAATACAAAAATGAAATTTTTTTTCTTTGTTGGACAGACGATGGTCAGTTCATTGACATGTCCATTTGAATTTTATTTGTTGATTAATTGAACGTTTCTTATTTGTTACCGCTAGATATCGCTAAATGTATACAATGACTATATATATAAAAAACAATAAATCAGAAAAAGAAACAAGACACGAGAGTTGTTCCAAAGAATATATTAATTATCGAGATGAAATCTTCATCCACATTCCATATTTTGGTCTAGAAAACAATGTTTTTGATGAGATTTCAAAAATTAAACACAAAATAAATCTAACCTCATTGTAATAGCAATATCGGGAACATGTTTTTGAGCAGGTATAAGTTCAAAACGAAATCGTTTAACAATCATTGCTAACATAATTTTTGCTTCTAACATAGCAAAATTTTGTCCAATACATGAACGAGGTCCCATTGAAAATGGTAAATATGTATCAAGATGACGTTCATTGAATCTTGATGGATCAAATTTAAATGGTTCATTCCAATATTCTTCTGAACTGTTTTATTATTTAGATAAATATAATTAAGAATAATATTAACTTACTGATGAAGAATAAATAAATTAATCAAAATATCAGTTCCTTTTTTAATATCTATATATTTTCCATCAGTGGCAATTAAAGTATTATCTTCAATTGCTGTACGAACTAATGATGGAGCTGGTTGATGAAGTCGTAATGATTCTTTTAATACAAGCTCTGTATAAGTTAAAAGAGAAAGTGTTGATGTTGTTATTTCTTCATTATCATTCAATACAGAATCAATTTCTGATTCTAATCTATGACATATATCTGGATTATTAGCTAAATTGTATAATGTCCAAGTCATTAAAGTAGCTGTTGTTTCATGACCAGCAAGTACTAAATTATGAAATAAATTTAAAAGAATGTAAAATAAGTAATTATACCAAAAGTTAATGCTTCTTCAAAAAGTTCTTCATCAGTTAATTGACTTGTTTTATCATTTCCATGTGCAGATAAAAGTAAATCAAGTAAATCAGGTCCTATATAAAGAAAAATCAATGAATCATAAAGAAAATCTTAAAATGAAATAAAACCTTTGCATGCAGATTTAGTAAAACCTTTTTTTCGTTCATTAATAATGTGTTCTACAGCATGTCTAACATTTTCTTTTGATCTATCAATTCGTCGTTTACTTGGCAATGGTAATTTATTAATTATTGGAATAATACCAATCATATTGAACGTTCTTTCTTCAACATGTTCTAATGTTTTTGTAACACCTTCATATATTGTTTCTCGTATATGTTCATCTTTCATTACTCCACTTCCAAAGACACATCCAGTAACTATATCTAATGTTAAACCTGTCATTTCTTTATGAATATCAGCAATTAATATATTGTCTTTATTATTTGTATTATTAATAGCTAATGACCATTTATTAAGAAGATTAGATGTTATTTCAATCATAAGTGAAATCATAGAATTTAGATTTTGATGTTGAAAAGCAGGTGCTATAAGTCGTCGATGTTGAGCATGAATATTATCTTCAGACATTAAAAGATTTTCAGATCCTAATAGAGTACCAAGAATAAGTCGCATTAAAGTAGATTTATGATAAGCACGAGCATTTGTTTTCAATACTCCTGGAATTAATAAAGGATCACTAATGACTAAACGAGCTACAGGACCAAATGATGCATGATAATAACTACCAAATTTCTTTGTCATTTCAATATTAAAAGACATTGGATCGTCAGCAAGAATAGCACGACGTATAGCGAAAACGTCACCAATTATAGGCTTGTATTGACCAGGAATTCCTTGTGCCCAGAGATCTTTGTGAATACGCCATGGATCAAATATCCAAAATTTCAGTAAACGATAAAAAAAATATAAAAATACAACGATTGTAAAAATAAAGAACCACATTATCGATGTTTAGAGCAGAAAAGTAAAAGACACGTGCTTTGATCGTCTGCTTAGAGCAAAAAATGACAGACAATACAATGCGTTCTGTACAGAAAAGTAATATTAATAGACAAGGTCGAAGAACAGCAAAAATAATAATTTTTTTGATTTACTTCGATGTCATTACACAACGTCTTATAATACATTCTTCTATGATTAACTTGCAAACTAAATAATTTTAAGTTTTTTTTTTGTTTTTAATACATGTATTTGTGAAACTTTCAAGGTTATTAATTATTACATTTTCTTTTTCATATTGATGATTTTTTAAACTAATTATAGAACCATTGTAATAAAACCTTTTAGTTATTCACATAAATTATTTCAATAGGACATTATCGATAAAATTTAAAAAAATTACTTGAAGAAAATATAGAAATAGTCAGTAAATTTCAAAATAACTTTTCCAATTGATTTAAATTAATTTCTCATATAACCAACTATTTATGATTTAATAAACCAACAAATCGATTTGAACCTTGTTTGATCATTGTTAAGTCGAACAGCTCACAAAATTGTAACAGATAAAAATTAATATATTTTTGTTTGATATGTAGTTGAGTTTTATTCAGAGATCAATACAAAAAATCATCTATACAAAATTCGAACGAATTTTTTAATAAACATTTGATATTTAGTATTTAGGGTCTGCAAAGTGATGTTTCATTACCATAACTGTGGCAAAAAAGCAAAGTTATGCAGAAATCGATATATGATAGTACTATCTAAGAAAGGATTTTTGAGCGCTTTGTTGCCGCGATTTTAACAATATTTGAAGTGTTTCAGACGTGAAGGAAAAATGGTGATCATACAGATCTCTATTTATAATTAACTCATCAAAATCATCGTACTATTTTTTTCTTCTTCTTATATAATGGTTCAATTGATCCAATTTTCAGTCGATTTATGATACGACAACAATTTGTAGTAGCTAAAACGAAATCCACTTTTGTACCAAGTAACTGTATTTATAGTATTAATATATTGTCTTGATTGAAATTTGATAAAAGAATACTGGATCAGTATTTGAAGGGAAAAAATCGTTTCTAGTGCGATAAATAAACTCCTAACAATTAATGAAGAGTGCCTACTATTTAAAACGTTTGTCGTTAACTTTTAAAAATTTACAATGAAGTTTTTTTTTTTATATCAATTTTTTATATGTTAGTAGTTAAAATAAAAGTCTATATATATAAGTATCGCTTGTGTCCGTTTCAACCATAATGTTGATCATCTTAATCGCCGCCGCCACCACCACCTCCACAACCGCCACCACCACCACCACCACCTCCACAACCGCCACCACCACCACCTCCACAACCTCCTCCCCCTCCTCCACCACCTCCACAACTTCCTCCTCCTCCTCCTCCTCCTCCCCCACAACCTCCTCCTCCTCCTCCTCCTCCTCCTCCTCCACAATTGGAGGAGCCTCCACCACCAACTGTAACCCCCCCACCACCTATTGTTACCCCACCACCACCTGATGTAACTCCACCACCAGCCGTTATAATTCTACCAAAACCACCACCAACGCCACCGCCAGGTACTACTCGCATACCTCCTCGGTTTATGTTGATACAAAATAATGCAGCAAGTATAGAAAGTAAAATATCCCAGCAACCTTGTGACTTGACAGGAGGTGGTGGAGGATAAAATATAGGACGACGCATCATCATGTGCCGAGGAGATAATCGAGATCTTGGGTATCGAATAGCAGTAGCTGGCATTCGACGAAGATGGTGCAATCCATGTGATGATCGATGCGGGTGACGATGATAGGTGCGATACATAGGGCTTATTCTTTTTTATTTCTGCCAAACATAATCTAACTATACATATATATATACTACAAGGTGAGATACGTCCTTCTATTTCTTCTTTTTTTCTACCTTGCTGATGAGTCAGAAAAACGAGAGCAACCGTCAAAATAGTAAGCATTGATTGATCATGATTCTCACGCATTTTACATTTGGCATTTATTCATTACGTTGATAGTTATACATAAGCGATAGAAAAAAGAAGACAAGGAGAAGACGTATAAAGAAAGAACAAATATTATTTTTATAGATAATTATGATCGATAGCGTAGCAAAATAAACAACAGAGATCGAATCAAATCGATTTTCACTGGTTAGAATTTTACTTACTTTAATTTCGATCTAATATTTATCATATCGAAAGAAAATAGCCAATAAATATTGGTATCAGAATCAAAAAGTTATATTTTTACTCTTATTTTCTATAGTGATAGATGTTTTTACTTCATAGAAAATATTTGAAATCACGAATTTTAACCTTTCATTTGGTTGACATAGTTTTGCAGGTAGACTAATTACTTACTGAAATATTAGTTTTCCGAACTCTATAATACAATCGGTTTTTTCATCATTTATTTCGAGTTACCTTCAGCTTTTGACACGGATTGTTTTTAAGATTTCTTTCTTTTTAAAGTAAACTTTAATGCTTGAAACAAATGATGACATATTTATCATTTGCTCAAAAGCTTCAACTAATGCAAATAGAATTTTCTACGTAATGATTGATAAATGTACGATGATTCGTGACTTTGATGAAATACATTAGCATAACATGGCTCGGCTGAATGTGCATTAGCCGTAAAATCTCTAAAATGCATTCTGATATCTACTTCCGTCAAAAATCAAAATGATCTATCGTAGAAGAAATCACATTTCGACTAGATATCTTTAAATTTAAACCTCAAATTAGTGCATATTTTATGATACTTCTACAAGGTAAAACCAACGAACCAAAACATAGTTTAATCATCGTCAATCATTTGTTTTTGGTATCATTTTCGGTCCATTAAAGTAGAAATCAAATATATCTTGGGTAAGACTTCTAGAAAATATCTTTCAAAAATAACAAATTGAAATCTACGTGAATATAAAGTAAGAAATTGACTCAAAGCAGATTTTGACATATATTTAGTCTATTCAAAACTTATCTTCAATGTGTTAAATGGAGACTATAAACTAACACAGCAAGCAATAATATCTGCAGCTATTTACACCGATTTAGTAGTTATTGTTTATCGTTAAAAAACAATAGAAATTATAATGATGTACTTAAATTTGAATTGAATTCACAATATTGTCAAAACAACTCGAATTAACCACGTACAATATGAAATCAGCGATTCATAATAAAGAATCACAATTTGAGTGATATCCGAGAGATGAAAATCAATCAGTGAAATTATTTTTTTAAACTAATCAATGAACAGTTGAATCAGTCTGTGAGCAGAATTTCAATATTCAAGTTTAGTCTCTTGTCTTCCAAATCGATTCTGATGTAATTTTTTCACATACGGATATTTTATAAAAAATGATGAAAGAAATATTTTAGTTAAACAAAAGCAACAACATATATTAAGAAAACTATTTTATACTTCCGAACAGAATGATTTCATATTTCTTTATAAACATTATTGATTTGAAACGGTTTCGTTAAGCCAAGATATTCTATGTTCGACTGTCATGTTATATGATATGCATGATTTGATGCACTCTATCATTCTATAATCACTCTTTTAAAAAAAACTGACTATTTTCTTATCAGTACGAATTCCTTTCTATAAAAAGGTTCAATGATATCACATAAATATTGAATAAATGGGACAATACAGAAAGGAGAAGATTAATATATGTTGCTCTACACTAATCAATCATGATGGTTTTTATTGTATTTTACAATTATTCATTTTTAAGGATAAGGCATCGATCGAAGAAATTCATTTGAAACTGTCAAGGTTTCTCTTACGTGTCGGTTTATCGACTATTTTCATACAAAACAGTCTTAACAGAAAACAAAAACAGTTATTCTAGCATAATGAACATTATTGACTCTTTGACAACAGTTACAATCACATATTTGATAAATGTGTACTGAAAATATGTCATAACTAATGACGCTTCTATGAATCTGTTCCAATATTCGAGTTTGTCTTTCTTCGATGTATACAATGATGTGTTGGTATTAGTTATCTCTAATAATTTGAGAGTAGAAAGCACAATAGCATGCTAAGTTTTATAAGATGTTTATACTAAGTTAATTATATTGAAAACATTAAAACTAAATAAATAAATTAGTGCACAACGCGATAGAGTAATTCATAGAAATCAGATTAGATCGAAAGTCACTTGATTGCGAGTTATGCACTAACGATCTCTTACTCAATCCGCAATCTAATAAGCTGTAATAAAAATTCATTCAGTTGAATAAACTTAGGAAAATAAGAAACATTATATTTAATGATAATTTTAGCCTTTTAAATTTGAGTAAAAATCTTCTATATTCGACGGTAAGAAGAATTTAAAAATTCATCTATGCTGAAATTCAAAATTTTCTATATGCTAATCAGTTTTAACAGAACAATATTTCAAAATTAAATAAAATGATATATGTATTTTTAATGAATAGTTGGTCGCCTGATCATGTTGTGACGAACTATTTAATTCAGAAGTATGAATAATTGTTGGAGGAAATAAAAATACACAAGGAAAAAAGATCAATTTATTAATGTTATAAACAAATAATAACTACTACTAGTCGTAAAATATATCACATCTATAAGAGTTTTAATATCTTACATAAAGTTAGTGTAGGCATTTATGTAAAACAATGAACAAAGTATATGACAACATCAAATTCTATTTTTCAAATTTATCAATTCCATAGATGAAGTCCAAGTATTTGCAATTCTGTGAATTGATACCCGAGATCACAAGTCTGAATGTGAGAGTATTGATGTTGATTGGATCATTAATGAGAATCTTTATTTTTCAATTTGTTCACTATCTACGGATTATGTATCAGTTCGAGTTTATCGAGCAATTGATCATCAAGAGATTTAATATTGACGACGAATTGTTATAATATTTGTAACTCAAATATCGAGATTCACAACATAACTATTAAGATATTCGTTTAATAAATTCGCGGTATTCATATGTTGTCAAATTAACAATTTTGAGTCAATATACTGTAACAATATGAATATTCAACTCGATACCCAATATATCTATAAAGTTGAGAATTTCTAGTGAATTATGTGTAAAGAATTGGATATCTGTTTTATCGAATATCGTAATTTGGAGCTCGTCGGTACTCAGCTTATAGATATTATGATAACTATGATATTACTAATAAAAAGTAAATGAACTTCAATTATTTCATTGCTATTTCATAATTACAACATCGTTAATCACTGATGTTCAAAAGAAATATCTTTTATTGTAAAGAATAAATCTTTCGAAAAAAAAAAATAACTCAACAGAAAATAATTTATTTTCATCATTTTGTTTTGAAATGATTTTATTTGTAAGATTAATTCATTTTCTTTTTAGTTAGATTAAACAACTGATTTATAAAAGTGACGATCTAGACAAAAGGAATCAATCAAAAAATGTTTATTATTGTTAATATTTTAACAGATATTGAAGAGAATTAGTTATTTCTTGATGTAATATGTTGTATATTCACATCGTCGTCTTTTTTTGGTCTCCTTTTCGGAATACTCCCGCCACATTTTGCGGATTTTAAGAACAAAACTTTTTCGATTTTTAGTTTTTCATCTCTTATATAGTTTCTAAGTATCCTATATGAAATGCCATATAAACGAACACTCTACATTGTTCTTTAGCACTTTTATAAAACGAAAATTTCGAAATCCCTAGCAGAAAAACTCATGTTGTGGTTATTCTTCGTATGCAAAAATTCTTCTAATGATGATTTCAAAAGGTGTTGAGAGCATGAGTCATGGCTTTCTAACACCACTGAATACAGTCTGTTTTTGATCACTTGAGTTGGAGAAAAAAACTTCATAATACATACAAAAAGGTTACGACATTGTTTTCCCTTCTGTTCTTGCACACGATACGTCTCACTGAGCTTAAATTATTTTTCTGAGTACTTTGGTAAAAAAATACATTTTGTAGAAGTGTTTCAAGCATTTTGCTTCTCCTGAGCTTCAGGAACAATATTTTCGGAATAGAATGCACTTCCATTTGATCCTAATTGTTGTAAAAAATTTCAGCTCGATAAAATGAAGTCTAGAGCTTTGCTTGGGAGAGGCAACTTTTACTCATTTTCAACCTTTACGATCCTCATATCTCCCTGAATGTAGTATCTGGAAATTTTCAATCTTTAACAACTTTTGTTGCACTAATCGAGATTTATCTCTTGAAAAATTCATCATTTTTTGTCGAACTGTTCCTAAAAAATCTCGGTAAAAGGTGAAATTCCCTTAATTATTCTACATTAACAATATACTCGATAGTGAGCGAAAGTTGTTGCTTTCATTAACGACTTGGCCTATTTAGTATTATTTTATAATTGAATTATTTTTGAGAGAACTTCGTTGTATTATTTTTTTTTATTAGTCAATGACAATGTTTCATCAAAATATTGTTCTATACGATGAGTTTTTATTTCATATTTATAGATATTGTATCCGTAATGTATCATATTAGTTTTTCATTTACTAGGGCACATAGAGTAATTTCACTTATGGAAATCAGAAAAACTTGATCTATTGAAAATCAATAGGTAAAACGTAGAAGTAGTATGCGTTTACCTTTGAAGATTGTCCTTTTAAGACCTTGGAGTTTCTTGAAAAGTAATCATTTTCTCCTCATTCATTCCAAATTCACTACTTTTAATAAAAGAAAATGTTGGATTGCTTTTACAGTTTAACTTCTTAGCATTTAAGATGGAAATATTTACAATTGAATAAGATTTGTATATGTGATATTTTTGCGGATGACCATGAGGAAACTAATTAGGTGTTGTCACATATTTAGTATCACATAAACACAGACGTTTGTCTTAGGTTTCTATTTATAAACACAAACTCTGTTCGTATATATTATCTTTTGTGCACAAAACAGAGCCTGTCAAGCAGAAAATGGAATATGAGTAAATGCGTTTGACAACAAATGTTAAGCAAAACTAGAAAGAGTAAAACAAAGATTAACTGACAGTGGTAAATACTAATAGCATTAGTGATGAGTAATTGATAGTTTCTCTCAATACGTCGCTTTGTCTTAGCTCATCTATCTTTGTCACATAAAATCGGCATCATTTATAAGATATCTTATAAATAGGCACGAGTTTAAACGAATCGTATCAAACACAATTCACATCTTATTCTTAATTATTAAAATACAATTACTTACATGTTAACTACACATATAAAATTACTATTTTATTTTATAATTACTTGCTCTTATATAAATGCATTTATTCCATATCCAGTTATTGGAGACGGTGCTCATACTAGTGATAGTAATTTTCGATTTATTGATTTTTCTGAAAAGTGATTCATCTTTTTTTTTCTTCTATATAGGTATAACACATACAGAAATCACCCAAGCTGGTTTTATTCGTTGTCTAACTCGTTTCTTTTATGATACACGTATTAAACCAAATAAAAAAAAAGGAAATACTATTAATGAACAAGAATATTTTACTAAAAAACAAACTATCGATGATCTTTATAAACTTGCATATCCTGAATATAGTCAAGCACAAGTAGAATTACATTCGCTTCCATTAAAATTTACTCTTGATTTCGTCATGACAGAAGATGCTCTTGTGGATTTTAACACAAATACAAAGAAACTTTCAGCAGCACATTTTGATAGTGAAGCATTTATAAATGGTAGTCGACGTATTCTTCAACTTAGACAAATAGGTAATTTTTCGAAAATAGTTTTTGAATAAATAATTTATTTTAATATTTCGATTAGTTGTTAATGATACACGTACTACCAATAAAGATTTGACTAATGCTCGTCAATCACTTGGACGATTGCTTCATACATTACAAGATTTTTATTCACATTCGAATTGGATTGAAATGGGCAAAACGAACATTAATAATCTTATTGGAGTCAAAGAAAATATTGGTTCAGTTGCGGGTCAAAATCAAGCGACATGTGCAAATAATGGCTGTACAAAGATAGAAAAGTCATGTGTAAGCAACATGAATACTATTTCTTTTATTTTTGTTTCTTGAATTATTTCGCTTTTTAGACTCTTTGGGAACAAATTACATTCAAAACTTGTCCTCTTGTTTATTATGATTGTAAAAATAATATTTTACCACAAATCAATAAAAAAAAATTACTTACAAGTGGATATCTCTTTAATCAATCCAATGAAAATCATGGTCCACTAAATAAACCAAAAAATGTTCAAAAATGTTCTCATGGTGGAGTGATTGATGATTCATCAAATGTACCAGCTATTGGTGGAATCAATAAAGATGCTAATACCTTAATCCTTTCACCTCATTCTAATCTTCAGTAAGGAAATAAATCTTATATCAAGTCTTACATTGAATATAAAAGAATATTAGAAGACGTTTTCTCTACATATTTTGTTAGAATATGATTCATGTAACTTGAATAGATCTCAAATACTTTATATTTTTTTAGCTTTAAAGCCGTTGATTTAGCCATTAAAGCGACTGAACAATTTCTCAATAATCTACGCAAAGATATTGGAGATAAAAATTTTGATCGACTTTTTATCATTAATCCAACACAAGAACAACATCAAGCTGCATCGCATGCAGTTAAAAATGGAACACGATTTCGTTTTTTTACATCATTTCTTTCAGTTAGTTCGAAACAAGGTGACGGTCTTCTTACTGATTTAAAACATTGGATCACAAAACGTATTAATATGATTAAATCAATATTGAGCGGTTTTTTTCCTGGCCAGAAAAACCTTGATATACCAACGTATGATTTAAGTGATCTCCAAGTTAATGTCAAAGATGTGAATAATTTTCGTGCAGCACCTTATATTATTGAAAGTAGAAACACTGGACGCAAGAAACGTTTTATTGATGTTCTTCGAAATCGCCAATAGATTAATACAGAGTGCTTTTCTTTAATTTTCTTTTTAAATTTTATCTTTAGAATAAAAAAAATCATATCTATGGCTATCAACTAGAAACTATGACAAAAAGAGATGAAAAGTATTAAAAGCTATAACAAACATTACAATGATATAAGCTTAATCATTATAACTAAAGAATATAGGATGTCCAGAAAGATCTTAACCAAAGAAAAATTTGAATATTTTCGCCATATTTTAACTAAATAGGCTGATATTTTTACCACTGATAAAGGAGTGCTCATTGTCCATATTCACAGAAAAGGTATTGGCAAAACTTGTTTTGAAGCATCATAACTGACTTCAAAAAAGAACTATAATCTTTCACGGGTTATGACAAAACAATATATTTATTTCTTATACAAGAATAAACGACATATCGAAGATTTTGATTGCTTTTCTACACTAGCGTCGTTGAGTCTCAAATTTATACAGTAAATACATGTCTTGTTACTCTTTGTGTATGAAAAGTCTCAGAAATAAATAGAATGAATTTGTTGAGAAAAGTGCTGTATTATTTTTCTGTTCATAACTCCCTGAAAGATTATAATTCTTTGTTAAAGTCAGTTGTAATGCTGTAAAACAACTTTTGTCAATGGTTCCTCTGTGAATATGAACAATGAACACTCATCTCTCAGTGATAAAAATATCAGTCGATTAGGTCAAAATATTTCGGACATATTTAAATTTTTCTTTGGCTAAGGACTTTTCGGACATCCTATATACTCTGGATAAACAAGAGATGTTCTAAAAATGAGAAACAGAAATTTCTTCTCAATATTTCTACAATTTCATGGTAGCAAAAATAGAAAGAACACAATATAGATCATACTTTTTGCTTGCGCATTTAATATCCATGAAAAAATATGTGATTTTGAAAACTATTGCAGAAAATTCATTACTTTGACTATTATGAATGGTGGAACTGTAAGGAAGATGATCGTTTGCTCTCAGTTCCCCAATGAGCTATTATAATGATCTCTACATTATCATTATATAAAATAACTGATGAATCTTTCTTTTTTTGTCTTCTATCATCGTTTGTTAGTAAGGTTGTATGCCTCATCGCCGAAAACTCAGATTGCCGAAACAGACATAGCCGAAAAGGAAGATCTCTGAAATCAGCATCATCGAAATACAGATAGTCGGTGTGAAGTTCATCGAAATGAAGATTGCCGAATATTTTTCAGCCATCTTTATTCCGGTACTTCATTTTACTAATGTACGATTCGAAGATGATGGATTCCGTTCTCCCTTTCAGGAAGCCTATCAGATACGTTTCTTGACGTGTATAGCAACTAATATTCAACTTTAATGTTCACATCAGAAATTGCGATCTTCTCTTTTCGTAAAAGCTCCAGTATGCAACAACTTATTTAATTACAAGCTCGATTTCTAAGCCAAGTTTGTCATTAACTTGACCTAGTGACTAATTTAACTTAGTTACTAACAAGACTCAGTCACTAACTTGACTTAGTGACTGAGTTAACTTAGTTACTAACTTGACTTAATGACCGTTTTAATCTGAAGTCACTAATTTTACTTGATATTCATTTCAAATTAGCCACTGATTTGATCCATTACTGTAATTACTAAATACAGTAAACATAAATGACTACAGTACCAAAAGGTTGTGACACTGCTAATATCGTGTGAGATTATCATGGACAGATTCAGCAATTGTAATAGAAATCGCCGAAATAAAACATCGCAGATAGTGACATTACCGGCAGTGACATCATCGAATCGGCAGATTGCCGACAGTCGCATCACCGAAAAGACACTTCGTTGAAACCGAGTTCGTCGAATTTCTGCGATCTGGCTTTCGGCGAAGAGCATATTTACCGTTAGTAAGATGCATATGTAAGCAAACAATGAAACAAAAACTAGCAAATAGCAATCCTATAGCAAATAAGTCACTGTATAATTCGGTAGAAAATGAAGAACGTAATGGATTTTCCATCAGCAATAAAGGTTAGAATTGAATTATACTAACCCGAGTGATATACTTCATCCTTTAGCAATGACTAGTATATATATATCGATAGAAGTCTACAATGAAATGTTGCTTCAAATCTTATTGTCATGATAAATATCTTTATCTACAACATACATGATCGAAGATTAGAATGCGTTGTAACCCTTAAATATGAGAAAAATCACAGCAATTTCCTCTGCTTTTCACTGCAAGTCCTGTGAAGCGTTTAAATCGAAGAAAAAAAACAGCACCTTTTAGTGATTTTCATTTCAAGTAATATAAAATGCTTAGATATAATAAAAGTCGCAGTATTTTTCAGTGATATTGATGATAAATGCTTCGCAACACTTGTAAAACCATTTTCTAAGTTTCTTTCGGCTGCTTATTCAAGTGAAGAAGTATACAATGAGTAAAATTAAGCACTTTAAAGTAGTTTATTGAAGTGTGAGCTTTTCTCAACTGCCTCGAAATAGTTTACAAAAGCACAGATATTTATATGACTGTAGAAAAGAAGAGTACATCTTACAACTTTATAATATGGATACTAATATTTTTTAAATATTTTCTTTTGATATTATGAGGGCTGCGCAAATACGAGTACAACTTGTACTAGATTGTTTCACCTTCTATTGGATCCATATGTCCGTATATTACCATATATACTCCCAAAAAACCTAGAATTCTGCAATTCATGTATTATCTTGTACTACATCCATGCATCAACATGATACCATATATGGCCCCCGAAAACCTAGAATTCTAGCATTCATATATTGTCCTGTATCACCTTGAATCACAGTCAAGTATCGAGTGTCTGGATATGGGGTGGAGGCCACACCCACATCCTCGACACATGGATGTAATACAAGGAAATACGTGAATTCTAGAATTCTAGTTTTTTTTGGGGAGGGGAGTATATATGGTAATACATGGACATATGGATCCGATAGAAGGTGAAACAAGGTATTACAAGTTGTACTCGTACTTGCGCAGCTCTGATACGATGAGTTTTTATTTCATATTTATAGATATTGTATCCGTAATGTATCATATTAGTTTTTCATTCACTAGAGCACATAGAGTAATTTTACTTATCGAAATCAGAAAAACTTGATGTATTAAAAGTCAATAGGTAAAACGTAAAAGTAGTATGCATTTGCCTTTGAAGATTGTCCTTTTAAGACCTTACAGTTTCTTGAAAAGTAATCATTTTCTCCTCATTTATTCCAAATTCACTACTTTTAATAAAGAAAAATTTTCGATTGCTACTACAGTTTAACTTCTTAGCATTTAAGATGGAAATACCTCTAACTGAATAATGTTTGTATATGTGTTGTAAGGTGATTTATGTTTATCTGATATTTCTTTTTTTTTCTTTTCTTTCTTTCCTTCTCTTCTATTAAGTCGTACAGATGACACCCACGACATACACATATGAAAAATAAACAGGGTTAGACCGAATCTCCTGTGAATACCCATGTAAAAATTTTTGATTAAAAATTTGATTAAAAATCGATTAAAATGGCACGATTTTAATCAGATTTTAATCGGATTTTTTAGGCTTGAAGACGGATTTTATTTGATTTTAATCTTTTTTAATCTATTTTAATCGATTAATAAACCTAAATCAATTAAAATTGATTTTGATAATTAGTTTTAACTGATTCAAGCTTNGGGGGTTGTGCCTACGATCAGCATTCATTATAGGGTATATACATACAAAATTTCAGCTGTCTAGCTCTTATTATGAGTGAAGTTCAGGGGGGTTCGGGACTTTTGGCCAGCACTGTAATTGGTTGTAGATGAATCCAACAGTTTATCTTGCCTTGACTTTTGGACATTGAAAAGTTTTATCTTAGCGTAAGTTATGAAATCATTCTTTCCAAAACTTGACAAAAATCTATTACTATCAGTTTTCTACTTAAATGTTGTCATGCTTTATCTTTGACTGTTCTCTTATCTTGAGAAAATTTTATCACTAGCAAGATGACAAATGACATCTCAAAAGTAGTTTGCGTGAAAGTAAATATTCATGGTGCAATAACAACGCATACATAGACGCTTTTAGTATTTAAATATATGATGAAAATGATATTAAATGTTGTAGATTGAAAAGAAAACCATTTTAAATCGAGGCACGCTCAATATTTCGTACATTACAAAAAGGCAAAAGACTTTGAATCTAATTTAAAACAATGTCTTTGATCAATCTCTATTTTGCCACAATACCTGGAAAGCGCATAATTGTTACATTGCCTGAAGATTTTCAATTGACTGATATGCTGGAAGAGATTCGAAACAAAATGAAAGATAAAGCCGTCGAAAATTATATTTTCTTATGCAAAGGTAGACGCTTGTCACTCGACGATCCGGTTACCTTTCAAGCTCAAAAAAGAAAATTTATAAAAGATGGAGACGTTATTTTTGTTGGTAACAAAATAAAAAGTTGTAATTGGAATCAAACAGAAATCAATCTAAACAAAGTAAAGTTTTGCGAAATCTTTTATTCGTTTTGAATTATCGTAATTTTCCCTTCAGATTGTACCTTCGATTAAGATCTACTTTGTTACGGCTACTGGACAACAAATACTCTCAAAAATACCTCAACATTTTAAGTTTGCTGATTTCTTAAGAATCGTTGAACAGAAGTTTGGAGAACATGCTATAAAACATTCTCGTTTTATTTGCATGGGTCAAGAATTAAAACTTAAGGATCGAATTACGTTTGAACTTCAGAAACATTTGATTAGAAATGGAAGTATCATCTTAGAAACTGTGCAAATCAAAAACCATATTCAGAACGATCGAGATCGCTTGGTGATAGCAGAGCCAAATATTTTTCAAAGTCTTTATATATTATTACCAATTTTATTTTTTCTCATATGTTGTATACAGATTTAATGAACTATTGAATGCTTGTACGTTATTTGTTTTCCTATTTAATATTGTTATATATAGAATTTCAATGGAAAAAAGACAACAGATTCATATAATACAAACATGAGTTGCCTAATTCGGGTTCGAATATAAATGAAAAAACGACTTTCCTGTTAAAATAGCAAAAAAGCAAAAGATAAATTTTTATATAAATTATAATTTATAAATTAGAAGGCACCAAGGCAAATCTCACTGAAAGCAGAATCGACTCAGGGGAAAATCCTTTGCCCACATAACTAACCTTTTATATCTGCGTCGCGGTGTGGGGGCGCGCAGCGTCCCCTGAAGAGCCGCGACCAATACTCGTCTTTGTGTACACAGCAGAGATGGGCACGGTTCGGGTTTTTTGAAAAATAAACCGAACCGAAACCGAGGTCGGTTTGAAAAGTTGTGAACCGAACCGTGCCTATCTCTGGTACACAGCGAAGTGTATCATTGGTGGATTCTGTGGCATAAATTGAATAGCTGAACTGGTAGTTGAATTGTTGAATTCAACTTTCAGGCTTGACACTACTGTCGAATTTATTAATTATAATTTATATAAAATTTTATCTTTTGTAATTTGCTATTTTAACATGGGTGCGATTTTTTTTTGAATTTTCCATTTATATTCGAACTCGAATTAGGCATCTACTCTGATAGTATCATTTGACGTGTTGATGAATGTTTTATTGCAATTTTTTTCTATGGATTAAACAATATATTAAATATTAATCTGACGAGTTGTACTATTCAACTGTAACATTACAATTGTGAGGAAAAAGTAAATCTTAAAAATTGATTCTCATCTTTAGCTAGACATTGGTGCTATGAATGGTGAAGTATACAATGTTTTACATGCATTCAATATATGTTCAAAGTTGATTATCATACATATCAAAACTTTGCTATCGGTGATCATACATGAACAATTTTCCTGATGCTCATTACTTGATACAAGTCATATTTTTCTTATTCATTTTTATTTCAAACTTTTCAAATTGGTCATAACGTTAGTTAAAGGCCACAGAGATAGTCATCATTTGAAATGTTTAACGTCGACACATATTTAAAAATAATTTCTATAAGTATCGATGTTTACGTGCAAGATCTATAGAACGCTTCTTGCGTCTCACATCTTCTTTTCCAATAACATATGGTGCAGCACGGAAATTATTCACATCTTTCACATTTACTCCTTGATCACTAAGATCAAATGTTGGTTGATTGATAGTTTCTTCCTTAAAGAAGTCACTAGTCCATATCGATTTGTTTAATCTAAAAAAATTCGTGAATGATCTTTTTAGTTTTGTCCACCAACGATCATCATCTTTCAAATGAGCTGAAAGATTTCCTCTAAAGAATCGAAATCGTTTTCCTTGAGACATGGAATCTGATGCTATTTGACATTGTGCTTCTGTTGGATTAATAATAAAAAAACGATCAAAATTTTCATCACCTATATCTCGGCGTAGATCATTGAGAAATTGCTCAGTTGCTTTTATAGCTAAATCGACTGCTTGTTTACTATAATATAAAAGAAAAGAAAAAAAGTTAGACAGCTTTAGCATTTTCTTAGACTCAAAAATGTAACAATACAAATCCAATTTAGTCACTTACTGAAGATCAAAATGAGGTGAAAAGACAAAACTGTAGGAATCTTTATTGATTCCACCAACAGCTGGTGTGTGTGATGATTCATCAAGCACTCCACCATGAGAACATTTTTCAACATTTGTTGGCTTTTCAAGCACTTCGTTATTTTCACTAAGACCATTTCCAGTATAACCACTTGTAAGTAATTGCTGATTATTGATTTCTGGTAGAATATTGTTTTTACAATCATAATATACAAGTGGACAGATACCCACAGTAATTTTTTCCCAGAGAGTCTAAAAGAAAACGAAGTTATTGAGTCATTAAATCTGAATAGGATTACACAAGGTTTTTCTATTTTGGTACAACCATTATTTGTACATGTTGCTTGATTAGGTCGAGCAACTGAACCAATAATTTCGTTGAAACCAATAAGTTCATTAATATCAGTTTTACCCATTTCAATCCAATTTGAATGTGAATAAAAATCTTGTAATGTATGAAGTGATTGACCAAGTATTTGACGTGCATTAGTCAAATCTTCATTGACATCACGTATATTATTGATGACTAAACAGAATAAAAATGATGACGTTCACAAGCTAATTTCTGTCATTAGATTACTTATTTGTCGAAATTGAAGAATACGTTTACTGGCATTCATAAATAATTCATTATCAAAATGTGCCTCCGAAAGTTTTTTTGTTTGGTCATCAAAATCAGTCAGAACATTTTGTGTAATGATAAAATCAACAATAAATTTAAATGGAAGTGAATAATATGCTACTTGTAATGCATTATATTCAGGATATGCTAATTCATAAAGATTATCAATAGTATAATCTGTAGTCAAGTATTCATCTTCATTAACTAAACGCGTATTGTTGTTATTTGGACGAATACGTGTATCATAAAAGAAACGAGCTAAACTGCGAATGATACCAAGTTCAGTAATGTCTGCATGTGTAATACCTTGAAAAATAAAAACAATATACATATGGTATTCTAATGATTGAACAGCGGAAAAACTTACTAGTGCTAGATATCGAACCGTATGCAGTCAGTGGATGGGATATAAATGCGTATGTACCAACAAAATTGACCAATAAATATAACAAAAATTTCATATAAATATTCAACTTCATCAATAGTTAAAAATCAGCAACAAAATAAAAAAAATTAATATTCTTTTCGATTCGCATTTGAGAATATATATTTTGTACTAGAGTGGGCGTTATCGAAAAAAAATCTCATTATGACAGAAACATTAAAAAACTGTAAAAAGAATCGCATGATACAAACAATTAGTCGATGGACACAGATCGTTTTTATGTGTATAATAAAACAGCAACAGCTGTAATAAGAAAATCGTTGACAAAAAGAAATAAAGCTATGGCTAATGTTGATTGTATGACATAGGCACAAACGCGACCCATACTTGGAACCGACAGGATTTTTTTCGACTGAATCGATTGAACGGTTGAAATTCTTCAGGTAACTAACGAAAACATTCGCGAAAAACTGGTTCGTGTAATATATCAGTTAAACAATTAATTCTGTTGAGAAATATTTATTACTGTAGTTCTACGAAGCCATATAATACAGCGAGAAATTCATATAACTCTTCGAATTTATAATAATAACAAATACTATTTTAATCTGTCACTTTCGATACACGCTAATACTAAGAACAATGAATGAATTCTTTCAAAGTTTTTCATCTAGCAATTCAAAACAACTAATGCTGAGCAACATCTATGGTTTATTTTATCTTATTTTCTCCAATAAAAATATGATCTCTTTACAATAATAAATAAGTTTGATTTATTCTTTTTTGAAATGATTATTTAATACAATTGAAGGCTTATCAATTCTTAAAAACATATTACTCCTGATTGGAAGATGAAATGATATATAAAGCACGATTTTATACTAGACTTTATCTATTTAAGTTTCTCGAACATCTGAATATTTTCACAATTGTCTCATTCTTGTGGCTGCCATAATTTTCTCAATAAAATGGAATCTTTTTTCCTTTTTTTTTTCTATCAAAAAGATGAACTGGAAACTTCTAGCCAGTTGAGAATATCTGACAGTCGTTTAATCTTAGTTCAGAAAAATGATCTCAAAACTTCAAGATGAACACTGTTTATTTTAGATGGAATTTAATTTCTGATGACTGGCGCAATTTCGAGATCATAATAAATTCATTCAGCATAAATTGAGACTCGTATCATCGGATGAGAACCTATGAGCTCAATATTTAGAGCTCGGAACAAGAGTTTCGAAACTTTCGAGAAACTATCAACAAAGCTATGATAGTTTCTCAGGAAACTAAAAATAGACTATCACCTTCCTTATAGTATCTCCATTTATAATAGGCAATGCTTATGTATGTGAGAGCAAAAAGTATGTTGTATATTGTGTTTTTTTAATTTGACTATCATAGAGCTGTAGAAATTTCTGTATCTCAGTTCTTGAACATCTCTCATTTATCCACAGTATATACTGTAGTTATAATGGTTAATCTTATGCCATTTTAAGTTTTGCATTAATAACCATAGACACAATTTATTTATTTTAAAATAAAACTTAAGAAAAAATGAAAAAAAAGAGTACGCTGTATTAATTTATTGGCGATGACGAAGAACATCAATAAAACGTTTCTTGCGTCCGATAATATAAGGTGCTGCACGAAAATTATTCACATCTTTGACATTAACCCCTAGATCACTTAAATCATATGTTGGTACGTCAAGATTTTTCTGACCAGAAGACAATCTGTTTGATATTGATTTAATCATATTAATACGTTTTTTGACCCAATTTTTTAAATCAGTAAGAAGACCATCACTTTCTTTCAAACTAACTGAAAGAGATGATGTAAAAAATCGAAATTGTTGTCCATTGTCAACTGCATTTGATGCCGCTTGGTGCTGTGCTTGTGTTGGATTAATGGCAAAAAGTCGATCGAAACTTTTATCTCCAACATCTTTGCGTAGATTATTGAGAAATTGTTCAGTTGCTTTAATAGCTAAATCAACAGCTTTAAAACTAAAAAGAAAATATACAGTATTTGAGATGTACTCAAGCTACACGAATCATATTCTGACAAAATATGTAGAGAAAACTTCTTCTAATATTCTTTTTTATTGAGTATAAGACTTGACATAAGATTTATTTCCTTACTGAAGATTAGAGTGAGGTGAGAGGATTAAAGTATTAGCATCTTTATTTATTCCACCAATAGCTGGTACATTTGATGAATCATCAATCACTCAAACATGAGAACATTTCTGAACATTTTTTGGCTTGTTTAATGGACCATAATTGTCATTGAATTGATTGAAGAGATATCCACTTGTAAGTAATTTTTGATTATTGATTTGTGGTAAAATATTATTTTTACAATCATAATAAACAAGAGGACAAGTTCTGAATACAATTCGTTGCCAAAGAGTCTAAACAATGAAATAATTCATTAAATGAAAAAAAAAGCAGGAATAATATTTATATTGCTTACACATGACTTTTGTATTCTAGTACAACCAATATTTGTACATGTCGCTTGATTTCGACCGGCAACTGAACCAATATTTTCCCTGACTCCAATAAGATTATTAATATTCGTTTTGCCCATTTCAACCCAATTCGAATGTGAATAAAAATCTTGTAATGTATGAAGCAATCGTCCAAGCGATTGACGAGCATTAGTCAAATTTTTACTGGTAGTACGCGCATCATTAACAACTAATCGAAATATTTTAAAAAATTATTTACTAAAAAATTATTTTCGAAAAGTTACCTTTTTGTCTAAGTTGAAGAATGCGTCGACTACCATTTATAAATGCTTCACTATCAAAATGTGCTGCTGAAAGTTTCTTTGTATTTGAATTAAAATCCACAAGAGCATCTTCTGTCATGACCAAATCAAGAATCAATTTTAATGGAAGTGAATATAATTTTATTTGTGCTTGATTATATTGAGGATATGCAAGTTTATAAAGATCATCGATAGTGTGTTCTTTAGTAAAATATTCGTGTTCATTAACAGTATTCCCATTATTATTATTTGGTTTAATGCGTGTATCATAAAAGAAACGGGCTAGACAACGAATAAATCCAGCTTGGGTGATTTCTGTATGTGTTATACCTATATGGAAGAAAAAAAATGAATCATTTTTCAGAAAAATCAATAAATCGAAAATTACTATCACTAGTATGAGCACCATCTCCAATAGCTGGATACGGAATAAATGCATTTATATACGAGTAACTAATTAGAAGATAAAATAGCAATTTTATATGTATATTCAACATGTAAGTAATTGTATATTGATAATCAAAAATAATATATGAATTGTGTTTGATACGATTCGTTTGATGTAATGTCTATTGATAAGGTAACTTATAAGCGATGATCATTTTATATGATCAAAATAGATGAGCTAAGACAAAACGACGTATTGAGGAAAACTGTCCATTATTCACCATCAACGCTATTGGCGTATACGATTGTCACTTGATTTTTGTTTTACTCCTTCTATTTTTGACTAACATTTATCGTCGAACGCATTTTTTTCGTATACCCTTTTCTACATGAAAGACTGTTTCATGCGTAAAAGATAATTTACACGAGCAGAGTCTATCTTTATAAATACAAAGGTAAGACAATCGATTGAATTTATATGATACTAAATATATGATAACAACTAATTAATTACCTCACTGTCATCCACAAAAAGATCACATATACAAATTTTATTCAATTGTAGATATTTTTATTTTAAATGTTAAGAAGTTAAACTGGAATAGCAATTCAAAAATTTTTCTTTATTAAAAGTAGTGAATTTGGAATGAAGGAGAAAAAAATCATTACTTTTCAAGAAAGTGTAAACTCTTTAGAGGACAATATTCAAAAATAAATCCATAATACTTTTATGTTTTACACATTGATTTTTAATATGTCGAGTTATTCTAAGTTCGACAAGTAGAACTACTTTATGTGTTCTACTAAATAAAAAATTAATATGATGCATTACGAATGCAATATCTCTAAATATGAAATAAAAACTCATCTTATAGAACAACATATGATGAAAGATTGCCATTTAATAATAAAAAATAATATAACGAAGCTCTTTAAAAAATAATTCAGTTATAAAATAATACTAAATAGACCAAGTCGTTAATGAAAACAGCAACTTTCTTTCATTGGCGGATATATTTTCAGTGCATAATAATTAAAGGAATCTCACCCTTTCTCGGATTCTTTCGAAAACAGTTCAACGAAAAATTATGAAACTTTCAAGGTAGACAGATCTCGATAAGTGAATCAAAAGTTGTTGTAGACTGAAAATTCTCAGATGCTTCATTCAGGAAAATACAACATGAGCAAAAGTTGCCCCTTCTCCCAGGCAAAACCTGATTTAGACGAAACAAAATACTGAAAGCACCGTGAAATAACATGTTTTTTTTTTCAATGGTACTATTTGTTTAAAAGCTACAGAATTTCTTAGGAATAACATTTTGAAGAAAAAGAAACTTGAGTCCGATCGGACGTACAGTGTACATGAATAGATGGAGAACTTCGTAACTTTCCTGTATATACTTGGACGTTTTTTTTCTTCAACTCAAATCATCAAAAACTGGCTGTGTTGGAGACCTACGATTCATGTTCTCAGCATCTTTTGAAATGATTATTAAGAGAAATTTTACATACGAAGAATAATCATAACATGAATTTTTCTGCTAGGGATTTCGAGGGTTTGGCTCAATAAAAATACTAACTAACAACGAAGAGCCTTTATTCATATATGACATTTCGAAGAATTCACTTCGAAGTTATATTAACGATGAAAAACTAAAAATCTAAAAAAAATTATTTTTTACACGCTAGAAGAAACAGACAAAGACTTGTATTTTTGCAAAAAAAAAAAAGTTTTAATATTGAAAAGTTTGATTAGATCTTTGTCAAGATATTCCTTTTCAACATCAGTTGCTGATGATGTTCGAATTACAAAATACCAGTGAAACGATTGAAGTTGAGGTAAGTTATTATTTATTACTTATATGATAGTTTCAAACATTTAAATATTTCTAATTGTTTATAGTGTGGAATAATGAAAAATGTATGTTCGTGAACACTATTCAAGAAAGTTTTCCATTCCAATGAAAACGTATCTGACTTTCATATCGAATTGAATGTCTAGGTTAAAAAGAAACGACCGACACAGGGAAATTAAAAGAAAACTTCATATTAAGCACTTTTCAATTATACTCTATTCACAAACCGGTTGAATATATGAATGGACATTTTTTGTTCTACATTATTTTGGATGGGACGAATGGAGAAGATGAAATGGACAACTAAATATACTCTATGAATTTCGAGAGTAAATAACGCCCTATCCATCTTTTTTAAACAATTATTTTATTGTATTGACTTTATTTCTTATGGAAATAATGTGATTCTTTTTATCTAGAAGGTATACACGACAATCAAAACAAGTTAACAGTTAATAGTGACGAGAAGAATGAAATACAATCAAAATAGAATCATTTTTCTTTTCATACTCAAACAAATAATGTAACTGACCATACAATAAATGATAAAAGCTCGATTAAATTCCTAAAAATAAATGTGAATGATGTTTCGAAGGTGACGTTTACTAATATTTCTCTTTGGAAGAGAAAATATTACAGGAAGGTTTTCTTCATTTTGCAGGACACTTTCATTCAACCATTCTGTTTTGCAGAACGATTTTTTCATTGCTTTTTTTCACAAGGATATTAAACTTATCTGTATGGAAATTGTGATGTTAAATATCATAGCTTTCTGTGAAGAATTAAGAAAAGAATCGTGTCTGGTGTTTTTACCAGGGTTGCCAGGTGAACAACTTAAAGATCAGAAATTCTCATTCTCAAAATTAGAAAAAAAATCAGAATTTTTTCCCCAACATTGGAAACTAATCAGAAGGAGTAACTTTCTGCAAACCAAGGGCTATTATGTTGACATGCTTACACAAAATGCTTCAGTTTTTTGTTTATCGACTCATACATTTATTTCCAAAAGTATTTCATAGTAAAGAAAGACAATACAAACATTATATAAGTTAGAGTAAAAGATCATGTACTGTAAGCTGAGGAGATTGATCATAGTTGAATCAAATGAATGCTCTCACTGTCAAACCAACTAGTTAAAAATATGAGCTACCAAAAGCGTACACAGACCGAGATATTCAAGTTTCACGAAGTTCACAGTTTGTTATACGTTCACACAACGAAACTTCATCAATACTTAGTTTTCTTTGTTCATCGTGGTTGGATGGAACACGACTATTTGCATACGAAAAAATAATATCACACATATTAAAAAGGAAATTCGACGAAGTCTAAAATAGCATTTTTTTAACTACAAGAATAATAAAAAAAATTCTAATTGCTGTCAAATTGCTTTTGAATATATGTGATATTGTTTCTCCTAATGTAAATAGTGGTGTTCCATCGAATCATGACGAAAACAAAACTAAAAGTTGATGAAATTTCGTAGTGTGGGCACATGGCAAACTTAAATATCTTGAAATTTAAACATCTCGGTCTCTGTACGCTATTGGTAGCTCATGTCTTAAACTAGCTGGTCTGTAAGTGAGAGCATTCATTTGATTCGAGTATGAACAATCTCCGTAATTTGCAGTTACATGACCTTCAATTGTTAGTTAATACAAAAACACTAGCAGAAGACACCATGTGTCGGAATCTTTTACGAAGCCAAAAGCTCTGCTTACGAAATTATGCACAAACAAATCGTATATAAACTATGCAGATGAAAAAAACTTGCGAAGAATAATAAAGGTTATAGAAAATAAATTCCACATTATTTTTCAAATTTTTCTTTGTTTGAAATTCCTTCCATAAATGTTTTTGAGTCAAAATATGTTTACAAAATCGTTCAAAAAAATAATTAGCATTCATTCTTAAGTTTAGCAGGGCAAAAATTTACTGATATATTAAAGTATTCGTCAGTGGTTGCAGAACTCAGAAACTAAAAAAAATTAAGAAAGGAAAGAAGATAGCGCAATACGAATCTATAATATTAATGAGTTATAGTCGTAATTAATTTCGCTAGTAAAGTCACCATCTAAAATCGTTTGGAATCGACAACAAATCAGAAAAAAGTACCTACATCAATAAAAAATCAGAAGGCCAGAAAAAAATCAGAAAAAATGTTCAAATTTCAGAAACTTTCCTGACTTTTCAGAAGATCTGGTAACTCTGATTTTAACTGTAAGTTTGGGTGAACATGAGTTCGGTTTTATTGAGAAAACACTGATCACGTAAAGGTAGAGAACGATAGATCATAAAGAAGAGAAACAAGAGTACAGATCAAGAGAACACACATGAACATTTATATATGGAGATATGCACATATAGAGTAACGCATAGAAGAGAAAGGAGAAATCCAATGACATATATGTGGAGACATAAAGGAAAAAGTAAAGATTTGAAATGACCTAGTTCATAGGGAAAATGTCCGTATGTGCTGCGCAGATGCATATTGGAAGAATTCTGAAGAGTAATTTGTGCATGGTTTTTTTTACGTCATTGATACTTTGTTGTACCAAAAAAATTTTGGCCTATCAATAAAAAACTTGACCATTTCGCCCATCGGTCTTTTTCGACAAAAGAGAAGTTTGTCAATTGGTCTAAAAATCCTGGTCACACGAATGATCATAGATTCTCTATTGATACAAAAAACCATTTACAATAATCATGTTAATAAACTTTACTGCATGTTTTTCAGCAGAAATTAAATGAAAAACAAAAAAAGATACTTAACGGCCATAAATGGAGTAAACCAATGATAAAACGAACATAAAGATACAGAATTTAAGAGGTAATCAATATAAACAGACAGACAACGAAAATGGGTAAGTTTTCTTTTTTATTGTTCTCTCTCGAGTTTCTCATAAGAATGAATTAATAATGTTGTCAATTTGACTCAATAATAAACGTATTCGCCTTTCAGTAAATATCAATTTAACTGAGTTAAATAATCTTTCCACCGAAGCATTTGTTATTGGTATGGCAGGTCGATTAGATGACTTGAATGTCCTGCAGCACTCAAATATTATTTTTCAGGATCTGTATTATAATAAAAAGATTGTCATTTTCCCGTATGTGCAAAACAAAATAGATTATCCGTAGGATACATACTCTGTGACGTTCTCTGCTCGGTGGCATTGTTCACTTTCATAATATGAAAGTGACAAATGCAAACCGTTGAAAATCTTGAAATAAACATGATTAATACTTTCGTTTCCATGTAATACAACAAATAACCATATTCGTTCAACTTTAGTTTAGAATGATCAAATTTTTTTTTTCAATTTCTTTCTATTCGTTCTTCGAAATTAAAACAAACCTAATAAAAACAATCAATGTCAAAATTACACAATGAAATAATATATTTTCTATCAATGAAAGATTGCAATAGACATTTTCAAGTACTGCACATAAACAAATTGAAAACTGTTATATTACTGCATGCTATAAAGTGATGAGATTTTATTTTACTGTTTATATCACAAAAGAAACTCATCGTCAAATAAAAAATTATATTGAAAAATTAATTAGTTGAATTGTTTGTATTGTTGTAACATGGATTTGATATTTATTGACAACAAAAAACTTCTATAAGAAAGTTGATAGAGGACGCTCTTTCTAAGTCAATATTTCATTATATTTAAATCAATTAGATTAATAATTAATGATAGTCAATTTTACAGTGAACTATTTTAATAAGGTTCGATTGATAATATTTCATTTGAAAATATGAAGGAGTGAGAAAGAATTTCAATTGAATAATTTAATTAACCTATTATGTAAATAGTTTTATTCTTTCTTTCTTTCTTTCTTTCTCTTTCTATTACAATGACTCATTCCAATGTGTCTACTATCAGATGCTGCGACGGATAGTCAATCACGCCATACATCGTTTTAAAAAAACGTTTTATTCTTTCTTCGAAAATGCCTAAATACTAAAATGATTTTAAGAAAATACTCTTCCCTTTTTTTTCACTATAGATCTTGACTGATTACAGACAAGACTAGTAAAACTTGGCGAGAATAACGAACAACTTGTAAGTTTTTATGTATTTTCAATTAGGAAGCCATATTTAGATGATTTCATTGATACAAATAGCTTTTATTGTTCAGAGAAATATAATATATTTGCTCGGCAAAATAGCTAGACACAGAACATTGAGAATATTGAAAAGTTGTTACAAATAGTACTTTAATTACATTAAAAAAACATTAGTCTCAATAACAGGAATTTTCAAGGGTATGGCAAAGCAAAAAAATAGTTGGATAAACGAAGAGAAATTTTCTGAGAAAACAAAAGATGCATAAACAATTTTTTTCATAGTGAAGTGAGAAGACACTTTTTCTCAATAAAAAGAACGATTTTCGCTGAAAAAAAAACAAAATTTTCTTCGAAGTGGAGGTGTGCGCCCTCCCTGCAGTGTTCTCGGTGGTCACATCGTTGAGAATCCATAATATATAAATGTCATCGATTGCAAAGTAGAACAAATATTTAGATTACTTAAAACATGAGTTTAGCTTCAATCTGAATAATATTAGTCATATCATTATTTGTTATCACACCTATACGAAAAAGTCAAGTGAAAAACGATAAATTTACCTGTAGTTTTACAAAACAAATACTTGTTTTTGTGACACTTGTGTCATACTTCAAGTGAGTCTCTTATCAATTCTGTGAAACTAAGAAGAAATATTATCATAAAATTGATTAATATTAATCCATAGAAATCCATATATAAAATGCCGGTAATTTGAAATTTGAGCAAAAAAGGTTTTTTAGAGTTTTTTGCGATGGTTTGATCAAACAAAATTTGACTAAAATTAGTTTGGAGCATTTGTTGTACTATTCGATGTATTATAGATTTTTGTGCTGATTCTGAATACAAATCCGTTTTATATGTTTTTTTTTTCTATTATAAAAAAAGAATAAGTTTTCTCTATAATCAAACAAGATTTTTCCAAAAGAATGCATCAAGTTTTTTTTAATTATATGACAAGTGACATAAAAAAAATCGGATAAATATTGAAGCTCTCGACACTTGATGCCTTTGGCATATTTCAATTCTGCTAAGCGTTTTTGATTTTTTTAAACCTAATTTTCCTAAGTTTCACTATAAAAATATCGCGTAAATACGTCAAAAATAATATTTTTATACGTAGCTTGGCAAGTTCTATCGAATCATAGCAAATAAATGCAAAAAAATTCTTTTTCTGACATCTCGAATCGACGACACCTTAAATATTGCGAAAATGAAATTAGTTTTATTAATACTTTGTTTTTCTTTTATAGTTTTTAACGAAATAGTTAACAATTGTCAATGTATATATTGATTTATCATCTAGTTAATAGTCTCTAAAACGATATAATGCGATCATTTAACAAACGAAGTTCATGAGTTTTTATTTTTTATTATAGGTAGATGATTTTTCATGGAGGGTACACTTTTAAAATGGACTAACTATTATAATGGTAAGTTTATGAAACAATAGAAAATAAATAATTTTTAATTTTAAAATAAAGGATGGCAACCACGTTATTTTGTCTTAAATGAAACAGGCATTCTTTCTTATTACAAATCAAGTGAATTAATTCATGAAGGTTGTAAAGGATCATGTTTAGTTGTTGCATGTGAAGTCAAAGGTAAAATAATTGTTTTAATTTTTTTTTCTTTGAGATAATTATTAAAAAATATTAACTTATTGATTTAGTTCATCCACATGATCCACTTCGTTTTGATTTAATAATACCTGGTGAACAATTTTTTTGTTTAAAAGCTAAAACACAATCTGATAGACAACATTGGCTTGTTGCATTGGGTTCATGGAAATCACGTGGAACGAAATCAACTACAAAAACGACAAATACATTGAATAATAATAATAATAATACATCATCATTAAGTTAGAAATAAAATACATGTTTGTCTTTTTCATTTTTTTCATCTTTTTTAGTTTCTCATCTAAATACGATCGATGATGAACTTAAATTAAAAGTACAAGAATTACGTCTCTATGAAACTGTTCTTATGCAACGAATTCATGCTGTTAAATCTATTGCAAATGATACACCAACACCTGATGTTAAAGTAAATTAATCTCTTCTTTCTGTTTTTTAATTAATTTATCTATCTATATATATATATGTTTTTTTAAAGAAATTAGATGAAACAACAGCAATGTTAAATGTAACTTGTGATGCTTTTATACATGTACTTGATGAATGTGTTAAATTAGCAACCGGTGGTTCAAGTCAATCATTAACATTATTATCTCCAAGTTCATCAATAAATTCAAATAATAGTTCAATATATCGAAAACCATCAAATGAATTTAATTTAAAAAAGTTTGTTATAAGATAGAATATTAATTTATGAATAATATTTAAATTTTTTAGAACTCAAAATACAACAATAGTTTTACCTAAACAATTTATTTATCGAACATTTTTTTCTGAACTTCGTTATACGTAAGTTTAATCAAGTCAATTTATTATTTTTATTAAATTTTATTTTAGATTTTCTAATCTAAGTACTTTATCATTCAATGAAATTCATTCTGAACAATTTCTTTCGACTTGTGAACAATATTTTCAGTTAATCGGTATGAATTTTATGGCTTAAGAGAAAAAAGTCTCGGTTTTATATAAAATGTTTTCATAGATAAATTTAATCCTACAACATTTAATACATTCCGTTCCGACGCTATTGATAATATAAATGTAAGTTTATTATTTATAATTTTTTATGAAACAAGATCTAGAAGAAGTATTCAAGTAAAGAAGTAGAAATTTGAATCTACAGTTTATAATAAGCGCTATTGATATATGATAGTGTCTTGTGGAAACCACTTTATCTCGATTTCCATTTCCCGTATTGCTTTTAGAATTCCAATTACGATTTCACTTTTCTTGTTTGAGAAAAAAATCTCATTATCAGAAGGTAGTTTCTGTCGACATTATACTTTACGATACATGAGATGATCTTATATTAAAAATAAAATTATAATTGGAGATATATCGTAATAAAATAAATCAATTATTATTCATATGTTGAAACTTATCAATGTTAAGTATAATTAGTAGTACATCAACAACGCCAATAAAAAACAAAAACATTCAAGAGGATAATAACGTTATATAAATACTACGTAGCGAAATAATTGGTAAAATAGTTCTTTCGAAGATAATAAGAATATTTAATGAAGGAACTTGTCAAATTTTTAGATAACAGATATTTACTATTTGTCTGTTAGTTAGTAATCAATCCAAATATTTTTGGAAGAATATCAAAATTTATGTCTCAACAATGTAACATCGGATTGACTTCGATTCTTTTTTGTTTGAAAGAGTGAAATTTGAAGAGTATAAACATAAAACAAAAAATTATTTATCTATTTGATTTATAATGTGCAAGAACATTCTTTCAGTTAATCTTAAAAAATCGTTGTGATACCTATAAACATTTATTTAACAACTAGTACTACTCTAATGCTTTGGTGATACGAGTAGAATATACCGTTAGATAGAACTAAAACTAAGTCACTCTCTTACGAAATTACTGTTTTTTTCTGCTTCATAATTTTTACTAAACTGATATTCTAGCAAAGAAAATGTTATAAAAGAGAATTTTCTTATCGACAATGTAACCAGAAAAATTTTCCGAATAAATCCAAAAGTCAGGTTGCAGAAACATTTAGAGCGTTGCTCCCTATTCCACTTTCATCATCATAACATGAAAGAAAAAACTTGAACTATGTTGACCTGTTTCATTATCAAGACTTTGTTCTTAGAAAAAAGAAAATTTTTTTAGATCAATCCGATATTCAATTGTAGAAAAATGAGTCTCGATATTTTTTCAAAAACTATTACAAGACTTATTATGTATAAAAACAAACCGAAAAGATTTTCGGAAACACTGATTTTTAATATCGTTCCACAAGACACTAATCTACGATCAAAGACTATATAAATAACGTCTCATTATAATAAATGAACTACTTTCTTATTGCATTTGTCAAAGATTAAGTAAAAGAATGGTGAAGAAATGTGTTCAAAAATAGATTCAATAAAACGATATATCTATAATTAGCAACAAGAATTATATCGTGTTGCACATTTTTATCTCGCAAAAATTGCGTTAACAGCTTTTCTTATAGAAATTGAGAAACAAAATTAGTACGAATACGAAGAAATTTCAAACTTTATATTCGATTATTAATGATGAAATATCTACTCAAATAACGAAAGAAAAAGATTCGGCAACAGATGCATTACTTTGGCTTAGAAGGTAAAATTTTAACATTTATTTAAGTTTTCTTCATCTAATGCCTCTCAAAAAATATTATGGCTATAGATATTTTTACAATAATTCAAGAATGGAAACAGCTACAAACCTCAATTTTTACTATTCAAGAAAGAGAAGATCCTAAGCCATCAAAGTATATCGAAATTTGATTGATCAACAATCAGGTGAGTTCTTGATGGAAGTTTCTGAAAGCGGTATTCTGAAGCTATTTTCCTGTCAATTTAGACTTTCATTTGAATGAATCCATAGGAAAAATACTTCTCTTTCGATCTATGCAAGGCTGACATTCATAGTTAGTTTTATTCAAAAGTTATAAGACTTTTGAGATCCTCAATGATAGTCAATCGAACTGTGATCATCCGAAAAACCAATTTGACAAGGATAATCCCCATCAGGTTGAGTCGAATGGTGATATTTGTTTTTACCTTCGAAATGATCTGACGCTTTTCTTAATATTTCCAAAACGTCGACTTTTGTATTGCATGGAGGCTAATTGTGAAAATTCGAAAGCATTGAGATAACAGTGTCAGATCATTTTGAAGTTAAAAACAAATATCACCATTCGACTCAACCGGGTGAATTACCCTTGTCTAATTGATTTTTCGGATGATCACAGTTCGATTGACTGAAATTGAGGATCTCAGGAAAAGTCTTATGACTTTTGAATGGAATCAGGTTGGAATATCGGTCTTGCGTAGATCGAAAGAGAAGATTTTGTCCTATCGATTAGTTCAAATAAAAGTTTCAAGTTGAAAGGAAAATTGCTTTAGGATATCGTTTTCAAAAACATCCATGAAGAACTTACATGATTGTTGACCAATCAAGTTTCAATATTCTTTGATGATTCCGAGTCTTCTCTCTTGAATGGTGAAAATCGCATCGTTCTACCTCTTTTCGTTATTGACTTATTGTAAATATACTACACGAACATTACATTTTTGGACAGACATTAACAAAGATTAAAAGTTTAATTGAAAGTGAATGAAGATTTTTGTTTTGAAAATCGTTTTATTTATTTGATAGATCTGATGGTCTGTTTGTTTGTTTTAGAAATATTCATTTTCTTGCGTGTTTTCTACATGAATTCGGTCAAGGTGATAAAAGTGTTGAAGATGCAATGAATAAAGCATATGGACAAGCATTGAAATCATTTCATGGTTGGATTACACGTGGAATTTTTTCTGTAAATATTTTATTTATTTTAAAGTCATATAAAAAAAATTCTTTTAGATTGCTCTTCAATCAGTTCCTTCGAATGAAGATTTTCTTATTTCACTTGCTATTGATCCAAATGAAGCTCGAGAAGCTTTATTTGAACGACAAGTTTGTTTTTAGAACTTTTTAAATAAATAATATATTTGATTTCTCATTTTTTTCTCTATTTCAAGATTTTGAATGAAATGCTTCAACATAGTACTGAAATGAATGTTGTTATTCGTAAAATAAATGATTTTTATATTGAACATAATATTGAATTAGATGATATTATTCGTTAATTATTATATATTGTCTTTTTTGTTAATTTTATTTATTAAGTAATGAATGTCATTATTTTAAGTTATTATAATAATAAAATATTCAATTAAAATAAAAACAAAAACGAACTTTTGAAAGACTTTTTCTACTTCTCAATTAAAACGCTATCAGTGGAGATTAGTTGAAATGAGAAATGTGCTCTCACTATCTTGGAAAACTTTCGTTATTCCCTAGTAAAACTAAACGGTTTTTTTCGTTTGTTTTTTGGTCATCAATTCTCACAACAAAGGTAAACTCTTCACAATCATGATAACTGCATAACATCCCTGATTGAAATTTAAACTTTGGCAAATACAAAACTGATGAATATATTATGAGTGATCTTAATGTAGAATATTTTATAAGAAAAGAAAGAACCGATGATACTGATAGAAGCTAAAAAATTCATCACTGACATGAAACAAATTGTTCTCCTAGAATGATTATAATCAATATGAACACTAGTTGATCAATTAATATAAAGAATGAGTTAATCAAACTGGCAACGAAAAAATTCTTTTTAGTCAAATTAAATAATGGTTGATGAACATTCTATGAAAGAAAAAATAAAATAATTAAAGTTCAATATGAGACAAGTGGAAGATAGTCAGAGAGAAAGTTTAACATATATGTTCTATTGTAAAATATTCATAGTCGAAGTATCTATATAGAGGATAAATGTTGGCAATTGTTCTCTATCAAATTTATTTAATCACGTCACACTTAGTCGTTCTAACACAAACGAAGAAATTATTAATGTCTTGAGCAGTGCTATCAATATGAAATTCTCATCAATAGAATGAAAATATCTTATTCATGGTCAGTTGAGATGGGTAAGTCTAACGACGAGCCTTCATTTTTGTGAGACCATTCTACCCAAACTTTATCCTTTTCTCAAAAGACAATTATCCATCTTAAAATCAGTTTCATGAAACTTCTCATCTACGCACACATAGTCGAATAGAATATCATTTATACAAAGTGCTATCACTATTATTGAAGTAGACTCGTGTTAACATTAAGGAATGGTTGTTTTTATGAAGTTTAAATATTGGTGAACATATCAAGCTCTCTCTTATTTATTTGTAGTAAAAAGTGATCATTGAGTTTTATCAGGTCAAAATTTTTTTTTTTTTTTCTAAAATAAATAAACTTATAATCAGTGCTCGTTTGAGATGGTCTGATGGTTATCTTATGAGCTACTTTGGAACATTGAAAAGTAGCCAGATTTCGACAACTGATAAGACATTATTATTTACGATAACTGTCTATTAAATGAAAAATCTTTACCATTAAAGAACATGAACCATATCACAGTGTAATAAATAGCGTTGTTACTATCAGAATGGAGTTACAATGTTGTACATTTCTACGAACGAAGCTTGTTTAATTAACAAGTCACTATACTGAGCAGTTTATTTGAAATATTTAAAAACAATTTCTTATTGAAAATGACAAGGAAAGACTATTGATTCCATTTCGAAATGACTAGATAAAGCAATTTGACAGACAGCTAGACAAGATAAGAATCAGAAAAATACAACATTAAAAATTTTCTTAAGTAGGCCATAACCATTGTTTGAATCTTGTTAATGGACCTTAATTAAAATTATATAAAAATTTTTATAAATAAATATTTATCTTACTTTTTTTATTGTTAGGTAAAATTAGGATATATACAATATCATCTGAAGTATAACTTATTGGGGATAATATTGTAATACCATTATCGGTTCGAGTAAATAATGTTGATTGATAAAATATATCCCAATCATAAATTCCATCATATTTAAGATCATGATATATTATACGTAATAAATCATAACGATCAATCGGTGTTTCATATTCAATTTCTTGAATTGAACCATCACCTAATTGAAGTTTTAATGAACGTTGTTTTGATTTAATAGATAAATCATTTGATTCTTTCATTGAAACATAACGTTTTTGAATGAAGAAATTAGTCGTATAAAAAAGTGAAATTCACTTTTGTCAAGTCAGAATGTTTGACATCAATCGCTTGGCAACAAAAATTGTTTTATAACCAATCGAATTTGATTTTATATCCTTTACGATATATTTCATATGCCGATGTGAAATATGAAGATATTTTTGATACAAATGTTCATAATGAATAATAGAAATCCGAAAGAAATTTAATAAATAATGAATTAATGGCGCCCTCTGGATATAAAAGTATCTTTTGAAATGTTTTATTTCATCAGTCAATCAGTCGACAATTGCGTTTACAGCAGCATCAAGTTGTCGAACTAGTTGGAACACGTGACTTGGCACGATGATTTTTCTTTTCTGTTCTTCACTCGTGATAAAATACGTTTTACTACTATATTCAGTTTCTCTCTTTCATTTTGTTTGTTATATATATGCGACAGGGAAATAATGAACATCACGACTTGAAAAAACTCTATGAAACTCAATATCAATGTCTTTATTTTTTTTCTATTGTGTATGTGAATTTTCTTTTTTTAGATTTATTGTCTAAAAGTCGATAATTTGATCTAGACGAGAAAAAATGAACAAGTTTTTCTCAATTATTTTTCTTACTCTTTTCATTGCGACTTCATTAGTTAAAAGTTCAGTACAAGAGAAAACAGCCGATGCTGCAGCTGACTTAAAAGACAAGATTGTTGAAACTGTATGTAATTTTTTCTTATTGTTGTCTTGATTCGGTTAAATATATTGTTTAAACAGGTAAAAGAGGCATATGATACAGCTTCACCTAAAGTCGCCGAAAGTGCTGAATATATCAAAGAAAAAGTTGTGGATGGAGCTGAATTTGTAAAAGAAAAGACTGGTGAAGCATATGATAATCTTGCTCCTAAAGTAGTCGAAGGTGTTAATTATTTAAAAGATAAAGCTGAAGACACTTATGAAACTCTCTCACCGAAAATTGCTGAAGGTGCAGAATATTTAAAAGATAAAGCTGAAGAAGCTTATAAAAGTGGAAGTAAGATAATATATTTTATTCTATTGCGTGTATTTCTTTTTTTTTTGGAAATATTTTCATTTTTTAGGTAAACTTGCCGAAGAATATGGTGAAGTTGGTAATTGAAATATGTTTATTTTATTTTATGCCTTATTTTTTTAATTTTTATAGCCAAAGAAAAATTAGCTAATATTGCTGACGATGTTAAAGCTTCAGGTAACAAAAAACTTGATATTGACTTTTGTTTTCTCAATGAAATATTTTTTAGCTCAAAATTTTGCTGATAATACAGTTAAAACTAGTCAAGAATATGCTCAAGAAGGTGTTAAACAAGGTCAAAAATTAGGTGAACAAGCTTTTGAACTTGGCAAAGATAAAGGTTATTTTATACAGATTTCAATAATTAATCATAATTATCTTGTTTTTTTTTTCTTATTATTTGCAGCTAATGAAGCACTTAAAGCTGCTAAACAAGCCAGTAAGTTTTGTTGTCTTATTTAATTAATGTAAAATATTTTAAATATTGTAGGTGTAGATGCATATGAAGCTTCACTTGAATTAGGTGCTGATGTTGCTAAAAAAGGTCGAAAATTAGGTAAATCAATTTCTTTCATTTTTCAATGTTAGTCTTTGTTTTCTATTTCTGCTAGCTGAACAAACACTTGAATTGAGTCGAGATAAAGGTAGATATATTTCTTTTTTAGTTTTCATTGTAGTAAATTTATTGAAATTAATTTAGCGAACGAAGCATTGAAAGCAGGCAGACATGCTAGTAAATAGTTTCGAATTAAAATTTTTGAAATTTATTTAATAAACTATTTAATTTTAGGTGAAGATGCAGTTGAATCAGTGCAAGATTATGCTAAAGATTCAAAAAAGAAGGCAAAGAAAAAAGCAAAAGAAGCTACTGAAGAAGCAGCTGAAGTAACAAGAAAACTAAAACGAAAGGCTACAGAATTGTAAACAAATGTAAAACCACCATTTTTTTTTCTTTGTAACACATATTAGTCACGAGTCTTATTTTTTCTTTATGTCAATACTTTGTTTTTATGATACTTTTTTTTTTGTATTCAAGCCTTTAATCTGTGTTCTTTTGTATATACATATGGTGTTTTTGTTGTTTGTTTCTGTTAAATAAAATGAAGTATACAAATCGATATGTATTTCGTAAGCACATTCCTTTTCCTTTTGGTTGATTTTTTTTGTTATTAAATACCAAAAAAAGATAACTATTTCATTGAAGAATGTAAATGTAGTTTAGTTCAACAAAGCTGATTATCGATATTCACATTTTCAGAAATTGAACAAGAGATAATCGTTTCGTCCCCAACGCTTATTAGTAAGATTTATTCAATATCGAAGAAATTTATTCTTAGAACATGCAACTCATTTGATATATGATGGTCTATTTGGAGCAATCATTCCTCAATTTCACTGCGTTGTTTCGAAACTTAATATAGTTCCGTTCATTTATCTTCTCATAATGAGTTTCACTAGATTTTGTTTTTCATGAAATAATTATTGAATCATTTGAGATCTCCTTGAATATATATGATTCTTATACTTATTTAACCGGATGCCTATGCCAATACTAACTAGGATAAGTCTTCAAGTATGAGTCAACATTTCGAACCGTTGATAGATTAGTTGGTATAGACCTCAACTAGCCGATTCTGATGACATAAAATTTTTCTCCTCATGAATCTTCCAATCAGGAAAACAACCGGTGTTATTTATAGTGATTTGTAATAATTGATCGCGTTACATTTGACTGCCCATTCTCACAGCGTACCAAAATGAACAACTGTTTTTGACTACTATACTGCCAATTAACTTATTAAACCTATGCAACTGACTGAATGTCGTTCGAACCTTGCCGGTTGACCATTCGGTCAACCGGTGATTATTCAGGGATAGTTACATGATAGACTGTTATTTAAGGCACAATGATAGGAAAACACAAAGAAGTTGAGTGACTGGCAGAGCAATTACGGAAGGAGAGAAGAACATCTCAACAAAAAGTGTAAGTGTATTGTGTATGATTCAACAGCAAGAATACTTTTTGTACAGGAGAATGAATGAGATTATGTAACTTATCGATAATGAGTAGAGAAAATACGGAGAATTATGGAGAAGCAAGATTATTAATCTTGGCCCATTTATTTAGCTTTTCTATTAGATGAAGGAGCAAGGTGGCCTAACTTCCATGTTCACGGCCTCTCGAGGAGCTCTATTGTGGAAAAATTCTAATGCGAAATATCAGAAAGCGAATCAAAATTATCTGCATCTCTTGCCAGCTTTTATATGGACAGAATGAAACCAATGAATCACTGACATGTTTGGAGGCAATGTTACTTTCACCATTGACATTTTTCTTGAAAGTGACAATGGTATACAGCGTTGGGAAAACTTCTCAGATGAAGAATCCAAGTTTCTGCTTATATAAGATCTGAATTGTCTTATATAGGTATCGAGAAAGAGGAAGATTCAGATAGGAATAATAGATCTTTGCTCGTCTACTCTGTTATAGACGTGAGAAGTGAAACATCTCAAAAGAAAGCATAAGTGAAAGGTGAAACAAAATATACTGATTCAGAAAATTATTGAAGTCACTACGTCGAATTGCATCCGTCACGGTTGTTTTTACTACAACTGATTAAATGCGTTTAACTCCTTACAATATTTATAAATGAACAGGGAAAATGCATTCGTNTTGTGGAAAAATTCTAATGCGAAATATCAGTAAGCGAATCAAAATTATCTGCATCTCCTGCCAGCTTTTATATGGACAGAATGAAACCAATGAATCACTGACATGTTTGGAGGCAATGTTACTTTCACCATTGACATTTTTCTTGAAAGTGACAACGGTATACAGCGTTGGCAAAACTTCTCAGATGAAGAATCCAAGTTTCTGCTTATAATTATAAGATCTGAATTGTCTTAGATAGGTATCGAGAAAGAGGAAGATTCAGATAGGAACAATAGATCTTTGCTCGTCTACTCTGTTATAGACGTGAGAAGTGAAACATCTCAAAAGAAAGCATAAGTGAAAGGTGAAACAAAATATACTGATTCAGAAAATTATTGAAGTCACTACGTCGAATTGCATCCGTCACGGTTGTTTTTACTACAACTGATTAAATGCGTTTAACTCCTTACAATATTTATAAATGAACAGGGAAAATGCATTCGTGTGATGGAAACGAGTTCGCTCATTGTAGTTATGGAGTTATTGTACAATGTCAAATTGCTTACACTTTAGAAAGAGAATCAACAAATGATGAGTACAAAAGTTGGCCATACCTGTTCGCTTCGTTCATAATCGTAGTAGAGTGGTTAATACTTCATATCTGTACAATCATACTCAGATTCGAATCCTAGCACGATCCAATTTGGGCGCCTTTCTTTTCCTTCACCAGTGATATCATTCATATCGTTGACTCCAGATCCGGTAGTCAGTATTATTCCATGTAGTTCAAACAACTTGAAACCTGCTGATTAACAGCGGTTCTTCTGCTTAATTTATTTGGATCTAAGCGCATCAATATTTTAAACTTTTAGAAAATTGTTCGATTTCAGTCGAAATTGCGTTCCGTTATTATTGTGAGTGCGCTCAAGCCGTCTGTATCAACGATATCGGCTGTTATCGCTTAGTTTTCGAGATTGATTGTTCATTGAAAATGACGCCATCTGACACAATATACTGTGGCGTATTAAAATCAATTTTCTTGAGTTGAAATCGATTTCTTCAAGACTGAACATATTACTTTAATAGACAAATTATTAAAAAGATTGATAAAAAAAGGAGTAAACCGTTCGAACCGTCGAGATTTTTATGAACCGTGGTCAACTGTCGGTTTTACTGAAAAAACTGACGACATGGAAATCCGACGTTATCGTATTGTATCTGTCTGTGAAATAAAACAATTTGCCAAAAGCCTAAATTACGACCGAAATACAGGATGATGTGGATTGTATCGAAAAACGCGGTACTTTTTTGGACTGACTCATGCTGTGTCGGTTTCTTAACGTTGATTTTTTTTTCAAACGAGAACAACTGGAAAAAACGGGTTAAAAAAGCTCACGTTGCTCGCACAAACATAACGTTTTCGCTTGCTTCTGTTGATGTTGCGTTAGCATGTCAACACTCGTCTATTTTTTTCGTGACAACATGCATTTTATTAGAATAATATCTCATTCGTAGGATTCTTCATTAACATCATATTTCTTGTAACACATCGGCGTCCATATTCATTTCTCTCCAGCTAAATATTTTATACATTCTAGAAAATCGTGGAATAACACACAACGATGGCTGAGATATCAACTTTTGATATGTTACCAGATGAAATGCTATTACACATATGTCAATATCTTCGGTGTGCAGATATTCTCTACGGTTTTTACAATCTGAATACTCGTCTTAATATAACCATAATTGACTTTTGTCGTCATGTAAATATTACAGGTGTTCAATATAAACAATTTCAATATGTTGTATTGAAAATCTTACCTGAAATCGGTTCATCTATTCGATCAATAGTTTATCACGGGAATTGGCAAACTGTTGTATCGGATCAAATACGTTCATTACTTTTTTGTTCGAATCTATCCATGATATTTTCACAATTGCATACATTGATACTGGCATGTTTTACTGGTGAGCAACTATTCACATTTCTTGATGCAATAAAAGATCTTGTGCAACTAGTCAAGCTTGATATTTATTGTCTTGAAGGAAAAGTTCCGGAAGAATTATTGAGAAAAATTCTATCTGCCAATGATGGTCGACTGAAATCGATATCATTCGATCAGGATTCAATTGATCTGATTTTGACTGAAGCTCAACATGATCAACCTATTTCATATACGAATATTGAAGAATTGACAATCGGCTTAATGAAATCTGAAGCATTAGAATGCCTATTTACACTTGTGCCAAATATCACTCGTCTACACGTGACTTTCGATGACACATCAAATTTATTAATAGAAAACATAAACGGCGTACCATTTCTGATACATCTGAAAGATTTTCAATTGCGTTCAATGGATACGTATTGGACATTTGACAAAATCAGCGACATATTGACTAAAATGCCATCTCTACGGAAGTTAGCACTCGATCTATCTACAGAAGATGCATGTCTCGTTAACGGAGACAATTTTGCTACAATTCTACCTGCATCGCTGGTGAATCTGAATTTGTTTATTATTTATGTCCTTCCGGAATCCTATAATCAATTAAATAATTTGCCTGTGACATGGCCTAGTCATATTCCAATAGCATGTTTGCTGAATGAATGTCATCGTTATGCTATTATTCATACAATTCCTTGTGATCTGTCTTCCATTGTCATTGCTGCCCAAATAAGTAAACAAATGTTAACTGGTTGGAAATATATGCAGAAAGTTAAACATCTAAAAATTTATGGAAAAGCATCTTTTACTGACATACCTATCATCCTACAACATTTTCGTCAACTTCGTACACTCAAGATTGACGTAGATTGGAATTCAGAAGCATGTATGTAATTTCTCACAATAAGAATTATTTGAATAAAAATTCGAATTTTAAAACGTTTTTTATCTCCCTACGAAAAAGAGATAAACGGCAACGTCATAAAGACTGAGCCGAATGAGTGTTGACGAGGGCCTTCTTTTCGTGGCTTTCCATGACCATATTGAGAATGATAGAACAAGGAGATCTGGATGAGTAGAGCAAAAAGTCTAGTAGCATCGAAGTTCACAGATCTTTTTTTCCAATAGATTTTGGAGAATCCAGAGTTAGAAACTGCCTGATTTTTTCCATCTTTTTTTCCTTCCAGTACAATCCATGTAAAAAACGATGATTATCGATGCTACATTATTATTAATGTTGATCAATTTTTTACAGGAAAACTGATTGAACTGAATTATTTTTATAATAACTTAGTCGAATCCTTTTTGTTTATATGACATTTGATCGGAGACACTCAAATATATATCTACATTTATATGGTCAGATCTGAAAAATGTAAATATTTGGGATTGGAAAAGGGGCTTTCTTTAAGTTTGCATGAATAGAATACTTTTTATTTATTTTGCAGTGAAAAAGAAGAGAAACAAACAAGTTAAGAGCATCCAATATAATCATTCTATATTGAATAGATCCAACATAATCCATTCTGAAATGAGTAATGGATAATTTATTTCAATATTATCTAACTAGAATAACAAAATGTTAAATTTGAAGTGTGATCTATTACATAAACAGTTGGAAATGATGAGATTACATTTCGATGATGAGTTTGAGTTGCGAAGTGCGTGATTCATAAAAAATATGACACATACCTTAGTTCGAAACAGTAACAGCAATATGTACGGACTCTCGTTTTCATAAAAATACTGAAGAAACCGGAAGAAGTATCTTTCGTTTGAGCTCGTTCTATTGATCATGTACATTGTTCACATATAAACTCTATAGAAATTTCATTGAATAATTTCTTTGTCTTTCTTGAATTTCTTTTAAGATGCATCTCAAATTTCGATTTTTCTTAAACTAATTTATCATATTCAATTCTTGTTTGTTCGACCGATTGATGTTGATTTCTTTCCTTACATAGCTACTACAACACAATTAACTCAGTCAATTGTATTACATTTGTCTCAACTAAAACGACTTAAAATCGCTGGAAGATATTCGTTAATTCACTCGTTTAACACAGCTCATAATCTCGACAATTTGACTATTGATTTCGAATGTTTCCATAGCATAATAACAGACGAATCTGCAACTCAATTATTGGAAAAGCGAATTATTGGTTTACATATTTATCGCATAGTAGATATTGATTTAATTCAATTCGATGTCGTCGCTCGAAGATTTATTAATCTTCGTCATTTGGTTCTATCAGTAAAATTTTCAAAATTACTCATTGATTCTCTTATATTACAAGTAGTGGCTGCATGGAAAGACAAAAATCTTTTCTCATTATGCATAAACGGTGCTTTATCAGATGAAATTAAAAACAATTTTCACCAGTGGTTAATCGAACATAGTCACTTACGGCTTGACGGCTCATTCGTTGTCAACCATAGGGACAACTGGATTGGTATTTGGTTTTAACAAATTATGTTTGTTATATCTGCTGCTAGTTAACTCTCCTATGATATTCTCAATCATGAAATATTCAAACTGACTGTACATGAACTGGCTCGTTACTCTAGAATATTCATTTTCGTTTTCGTTTTCAAATAATGATGTCGATTTTTTAATTCTTAGATTTCATTTGAATACATATCTGTTAAATTATGCATTATTGAGAAGTATGACTGCTAATTGTTGCGTTATTCGAAGACTAATATCATATTATTAAGTAGTTAGATTTTCGAATAGTCTTATATATGTATACGTATAGAATTCGATTCATTTACTAATTATGGAAGAAAGCTTTTGAAATATTTGTTGGAATTCGAATAATTTCTGTGATGTATTTTGGAATTAATGATCATTCAAATAGATATAAAAAAGAAAGATTGATTTATGAAGAAACCTTTTCAATTGTTCTTTTCCGATTTCAATAATATTTTGCTTATAGATATTACATAGTATTCTAATAAAAATTCCTAAAAAGACTTGAGTTCCTATTGACACGTGACTTAAATATCGAATTTTCCCTATGTTTGTTTTTCTAGAACCTTGTAGCACCTCAACTTTTAGAAAAACTTGTAGTTTTGAACTTTGATCTAAAACTTTGCGCATATAGAGAACTCAATTATACTAGCATAAAATTTTTTCGAAAACTTGGGATTCTACAGGATTGTAGAAAATAGGCATATTGTAAACTTGACAGCTTAGTCAAATTTCATTAGAACTCGAAAGACTTTTAGAGTTTCCATAAGGATACAATGTAGTATCTATAGGAAAAAAATCATTAAAATTGGAAGGGATCAACTGAAAAGGTTCTCTGATTATCTTCTTAGACCTCTATCGAATTATTCTTGAATTGAAATATCTTCTATCGGATTGATTCGTTATCAATATTAAACATTAAACTGATGATAATTAAATTTTTCACTTTTTTGGGCACGCGGCCATAAGCTAATTGACTTAAGTTTAAAAGTGAAAAGTTCTCTTGGACTTTTTCTAAACTGATTTTTCCTTATATTTAATAGTTGATCACAATGGCTATTACAGAAGTTCACAAAGCACACTAAATAGTCTAAATATGAAAATAATTAATTAATTTTTCTTTTATTATCTTTTATTTATTTTTCATCCATGAAATAATATAGATTATCTTAATAAAATATTTTCTATTTATTCAGTAGATTTTTTTTTTCTGATTTTTATTTACCAATGTTTAACTATTTTGTGAAAATAGCATGCAGTACAGAAAATAAATATTTTATAGTAGTGAATGATCGAGTTTTATAAACTGGACATAAAAGAAACATAAAGCAATTTGAAATTATTAATTGTCACTGAATAAATAATTCGTGTAAAAATAACAGACAATCACTATTGACATATCTATCTATGAAAATAAAACTAATGGTCATATCAAAGTCGATTATATTCAAAATTTCGACAGGAGATAACAGCAAAAACTCGCCATATACGAATCGAAGGAAAGTATTTATGTTCAGAAAGATACAAATTTATTTCCTATTTTATTATCAAGATATAAGTCTGATTTTTCTTTTTTAACACTTGAATATTATCTCTTATTAATTCTAACTGTTGAATTTAATTATAATGAGAGTTACATTTAGATGATTGCCGGTAATCTAAAATACATAAATACTCTTTGACGTCATTTGATATAATTCTTCGTTACTTAAGATCTAATTTCTCTAGAATTTATTATCTGTGATTAACATCATATGATTATTTGTGATTAAGTTAATCCAGATAATAATATTTGAATAACGCATAATCTTCTCTTTTCTTTCTTTTTTTGCAAATCTCTTCAACAATATACCTATCCTAGAATATTCAGATAAGACAATAATATGACGTGATGTTTATAACTAATTTAACATGTGAATAAGATTGATATGAAATCTTTTTGATCCATAAATTTTCTTTCTTTTAAATATTCGATTCATTGATCAACGGTTTATATATAAAAATGAATAGAATAATATCAAGTAGAAATATCTTCTATAGTGAGTAAATTCTTTGATATATTTCTAATTTAATTATTCATATAGTTTTGACCTTAATTATTGCCAGCTATGCTAATCGAACAACTTTTTTCAGCTGTGATTTTAACACAGGAATGTCGATCAACTGTGCATTTTTACCATCAACAGGTTCGAATCTACTGACATGGCCTGCTGACGCACCTGATTTAACATCATCCGAACAACCAAATCGACCATTATCAGATGCTACATCCGTTAGTAAGTTTGACACTAAAAATTTCTATTTTGAAACTAATATTTGTTTAATTATTTTTAAGCTACTCCAATAAATGGTCATATGTGCAATTTACCTTACAGAATCAACAATTGGGATATGCATTTTTGTCTACGACAAAATAAAACAGATGTTTACACATGTCCTACATTTACATCAAATATGAGTATATGTGCGTCAGGTAAGATTCTAGAGAAATTTTCTCTGATGAATATTTATTTTTACCATATAGGTAAATATGGATTCGCTTTTACTAATAGTACAGATTCATTCGATCAAACTTATACATCATTCGTGAGAAATAGCACAGTCGGTGAACAATGTCTTACTTTTTATTATTATTTCACTGATGAATCAAGAAATCCAAAAATTGATATTCTATCGGGATTCTCATTTGGAAGCAGTCTTGATGACATCAGGATTGTTACAGTAACACCTCAAACAGAAAATAAATGGTATAAAAGACAAATTTCGTTTTTCACAAATTCTTCAAATTATGCAGTAATTGTTATTCTTGTTTAAATATATGAAAATATTTTTTTTTTTCATATTATTGTTTTCAGCTTAAATTCAAACTAAGTCGAGATAGTGGTATTAATAGTACAGAATTTTATTTTGCACTTGATGATATTTTAATTACAAGTGAACTATGTGGTAAGAGAGATTCGGCTTTTTTTATTTTTTATTATTTTCATAACGATTAAATATGATAGAATTAGAATTAGATAACTTCACAATGTCCACTGTATGTTGATAGAATTTTAATCCCATTCAAATTTCATAATCAATGTCATTTATTGTAGGATGAGGCAATGTTGACACAATTAACTTCTACCACGTAAGAAATAACTTATTTATTTTTTCTAAATAATTTATACTATTGACCTAAATAGAGAATTAATCTTCTCGATAAATAATAACACTAGTCATTCGTAAGTATCAATATTTTGTATCATATTTACTCATTAATATAATTTAATTAATAATAGAAGTGAGTCTATAACAACTAATGTTTCCATAGATTCGAACTATTTAACATCACCGTCGGAAAATTCAATTATCGTATCTGAATCGTCTTCTAAAGACTCAACGCCAATTGTTTATTCCTTTTCGACAGATTCAATTGTTTCATACGAGTCACCTTCTGCTGATTTGATTACTGAATCAAAATTCATTACAACAGACTATTCTGTCTTATCTGAATTTTCTTCGTTAAAATCATCAACTGCAAGTGTTCCTTATTTCACCGATTCAACCATACGACATGACTTGACTATTCCATCAGAATCATCGTCAACTACTCTGTTTATGGCGATTGAATCTTCTTCACAAAATCCAACGAAAACATCTACCAATTCCATCTCAGATTTGACTACGATATCGCAATTATTTTCAACGAAACCAATTACTTCATCTAACTTTTCTTCAAATAATAATAATAATAATACTTTTTCAACCATAGTATGTTTCATTTCTTTTTCAACTTGTCGACATTATTTCAACTTTTCTTTTTAGTTTACAACCACTTTGAAGCGAACCGAAAATTCTACTTTACCTATTATTTCAACAATGAATATCAGCATTCTCAATAGTACTCTAATTCAGACAACCAAACCAAATACAACAGTAAGATTCAATTTCTATAATGAATTATCTAAATTATATTGAATTTTTTTTTCTGAAATCATTTAAAATATTAATAAGAAGAACATTTCTTTTTTAAATACATCATAAGAAAATTTCTATAGGAGTTTCTTTTGATAGATATCTTCGACATATTTATCAAGTAGCCTTTTGACTACTTGGATCATTCGTTCTACATCAGCATCAAATTCTCAAAAATCGAAAAGTAAGAATTTTAATTTAATTTTAGCCATTATCTTTTCAATGAATGAATCTTAATTTAAGGTAATGCTGTATTGATCATTGGTCCTTCTGTTGGTTTGCTTCTTCCTATACTTTCAATATCAATTATTGGCTTTGTTTACTTTTTGAAATTACATTGACCAAAGACATTTCGACTGAAAAATCAAATTTGATGCGCAATGAAAAACATTGAAAGAGCTTATTTTATCTAGAATAATTACTGTAAGAAAAGTTTTCTGACATGTTGAAATAAATTAAATTTTATGATCTTCATAAAAAAGTTTAACCTACAGAAAGAAATTTTCAACCAGTTTTGATTTAATACAGTTCTATTTCTGTAGGTCAATAAGTAGTCATTATTACCGAACTTGAAATGATGTTTTTATTATTGAAGAAAAATCTTAATTTTGAGATCATTTCATTATCCATCACCGAGAACAAACATGATAAATCCTCTTCTCATAGAATATGATGAGTCTTCTATTATGTCTCATTGATTTTCATGGGTTTTAAGTGCTCCGAAATAAATTCGAAGTAAATATTTTAAGATTTTCATCTCAAAACTCTGAAATCCAGTCATATCCTGATGTTAATATACGTATAAAAGTTTCTATTTTTCGGCAAATTAATTAATTGATGAAGATTTTTTATTACGTCCGGCTCATTATTCCTTCGAGAAGGATTTTCTATTGTGGAGGGTTGATATTACTACTAAATAATATCAATAAATCTCTAACATTCATTATTACTTTGACATCAACTGTTTACATTAACATATCTTTTATATTTATCAAAAATAATTTTAGCAAATATTATATTATTGTATATTCAATTTTTAAAAAATAAGTCGAAAATACTTCTTTTTACAAATAAGACTTTATTTTATGTCAGAATAAAAACTACCATGTAAATGTACTTATTTCAGGTAGAAGTTGTATAATTAAAAACTATAGAAAAATAATAAATAAAAATTATTAGAAGTTTTTTAGAAGATTATTATTTTTTTTTCCACTAAAGACTTATGAATAATAGCTAAAACGCTTTTTTTATATATGAAAAAGTCAAGAAATTTCTTTAATTTTCTATATATATGTGATACTCATTAGTGTTACCTCATTTCTCTTTTGGTGACAAAACTGCTGAAGCAAAAGTAATATCAGATTCAACTACCATATTAGTCACTTTCAGAGGTTAATGAGACTCATGAGATCTAACGTTAATAACAGAGAAAAACTCAAACTACAAAACTGTAAATGGAATAATATAACAAAAGTATAGTAAGTATAGAAATATTAAAATAAATTAATAAAAGATTTGCATACAATATAATATTCTTTGATTGTAAAAATGCAAGAAAAGATTAATTTCTAAAAGGCATTATATTCTCAATAATGATCATTTTTGTGCTGTTGCACATAGTTTTACCTAACGTAAGAAAATGAAAAAATATAATGAAGAAAAAGATAGATAGGAAAAAATATTCATCACTCTATCAATATATTGACTTGTACTAACTATTATTATGCTAACGGATAATTTTTTGATAACAAAAATGATACTGATGAAAATTACTTTATTTTTATCCAATATGTTACTACATAGTAAGTGACATATTTCAGAAGCGTTTTCCTGTTGATATAAACTTTAATTCAGTGCTACCGGTCGTCAAAAATTCAGATCGATTCCATCTCTATTGTTATCATATTTAAATATGTTTGAGAGAAAATTGCATATGAAATTGTCTCGAAGAATAATACGAATGCAGAAGATTTATGATCTAACTTGACATTTCATGCTGGTCTTACAGTGAAACAAACTTTCAATATGAAAACTAACCTTTCCTTAGTGTCCGTGACTTTAGGAATAGACTTTTAAAGTTTTTCATGTTTGTGAAACAATAATAATATTTTTAAATCTTAAGACTAAACTCATGAAATAATGAAGCATAGTGAATAAGTTTATTATGAATCATTAGACACTAAAGATGATGCTCTTGGATAACATTTTAGATTCAGTATCTACTGAAATGATTTGTTAAATAATGCACGAAACTAACTATTGCCGTTCTCGACATATTCTATTTTTACAACCATCATAACTTAATTCTTGTCTCGAGAATAGCGTAACATAAATACATAAGAGAAAAATAAAAAAGCTAATGTAACAGACAAAGAGCACTCAATTGGTAGATAGATAAAGAATATATAAATGAAACTTGTTTTATGAGAAAGATATTGTTGGTTTTCATGGTCTAACACGAACTCGATAGAATATTGTGTCTAATTGTACATAAAACGAATGAATCATTTCCACCAGTCTTATTATTATTATTATGATTCATTTGTTGAGTTGAGCTTTAGTTTCGCTAATTCTTAACTAATTCATAACAATAAAAATGTTTAAAATATGTACAATGACGACGAGAAGAAGAAACAATAATTTGAAGTGATTGATAAACTGCTTCTAAATTACATTGAATATAATTATGATCATCTTCATCTTTAGTATTATTTGTTATTGTAACAGTAGATTGTCTTATAGATGTTTCATTTAGTTCAGACTTTCCATTTGGTATGCACTGAACATAAATTATCTGTATTTGATTAATTTTCTCTAATCAATTTGGAATTGAATTTGTTATATGTCTATAATGATAAATAAGTTTCAATTAAGTTTGAAAAATTTACTTTTGGTTGATTCGATATCACTTGAGGATCAAGCACAAAGAATCATTGATCGATTATTGTTATTTATTAGTACTAATCATTATTGTAGCGTTTCGACATTTATTAATGGAATTAATATAGAACATTATTGCTGAATCTAGATACAATTATCATTCTTTGCAGTCATATTCAATAAATTATTACGAATAATCAATAAACAGCGTAAAAACAATTTAAATATCGTTAGAAAATTTAAATTATTAAAAAATTCAAATAAGAATAAACATTTAATAAATGAAAATTAATATTTAACTTTAGCGAATCTTGAAGATTTTCTTCCTCTATTGACGAAATGATATTTATAGAAAGGATGGTTTTAATTTAGTTTTTTAGCCAAAGTACTTTTTATACATAATTCTCGCGTTTCTCCTTGCCAACATATTGTTATCTGATCATCAAGTTTAAAAAAGGTAATAATCTTAGTTTTTATAACGTCACTTTGACTTGCTAATGCCGAGTCAAAGTAATATGACTACTTAAAAATATCAGATCTCATAAAATTTAAAAAAAAAAAAAAAAAAATTTCCACAATTAATAAAACATTTAACACAAGATACAATTAAAAATAAAATAGGATATTAATTCCGAACTTTTAATTATTTTCGATAAAAATTGATATATTAGAATTTCATTTTTGATAGTCAGTATTACATCGGGATCTAGAATGATGTAAGTTCTATCAATAATTTAATATTGTCTCTAGTCATATTATCTTTCACAATATTTTCATATCTGGTATACAAGGATAATGTCAATAAGCATAGAGGAAAAACTCATATTGAAAAAAAAACCATGCTTCTCAGTTAATAATATATTTAATTGAATGTAATTATCCAAAATGAAATAGAATAAATGTCATCTTTGAAAAGACTAATCTGTCAAAAATTGTTGATATTAAATTTTAAAAAAAAGGTATAGATTTCTATTTTTAATATTCTTATTAAAATCAAATCGAAGTAAAATAGTTTGATTATTGACGGAATAAAATCGGCGTCAACATCTCCGTTTTATTATATTAAATAAGGTAAATACTTCCTATGTTAGCACGTGTGCCCGTCAATTGTTGTCAATCATCTGTCGGCGGCATATGAACATTTTGTTTGATTATAATCACGTTCATGTCAACAAAAGAAAAGAAATGACTTTTTATTATTTGTTCAAA